AGTATATTAAGCTGCTTAAAGTTATTCCACAGTTGACTGACACCTGATTTTTTGTTTTATTCTCTTTTCCCTCTGTATTTTATTTTGGATAATTTCTTCTGTGGATCAAGCTCTGCTATGTCTAATCTCCCATTAATCTTATCCATTGTATTTTTCTTCTTTTTTTAAAATCCTCACTGAGGACATGTTTTTATTGATTTGAGAGAGAGAAGAAGGCAGAGGGAGAGAGAAAGAGAGAAACATCAATTCGTTTTTGCCTCACTCACACGCCCCCATCAGTGATCCAACCTGCAACCTGGGTATGTGCCCTGAGAATAGAACCTGTGACCCTTCCGTGCATAGGATGAGACACTAACCACTTAGCAACACTGATCAGGGCCATTTTATTTTTCATCTCATGCATTTTGAGGTTTATTTCTAGAAGTTTGATTTGGATCTTTCAATATCTTTATTAGAGAACTGGAGGCCTGGCTCATGAAATTGTGCACGGGGAGAGGGGAGGTGTCCCTCAGCCCAGCCTGCAACCTTTCCAATATGGGACCCCTTGAGGAATGTCTGGACATCTCTCTCACAATCCAGGACTACTGATCCCCAACTACCTTCCCCTGCAGGCCTGGTCCCCCTAACTGCCATCCCCTGCAGGCATGGGACCCCCCCTCCCCAAATGTCCTCCATTGTAGGTCTGGTCCTTCCCCAACTGCCCTCCCCTACTAACCTGGTCTCCCCCAACTTCCCTCCTCTCTCACCTGGTCACCCCTAACTGCCTTCCCTGCTTGCCTTATCGCCCACAACTGCCCTCCCCTACAGACTTGAGTCTGCCCCCCTACTGCCTTTTCTTGCTGGCCTGGTCTACCCAACTGACCTCCTCTGCTGGCCGGGTCATCCCCAACTGCCCTCCTCTGCTGGCCTGGTCACCCCTAACTTCCCACAACTGACCTCTCCTGCAGGCTATCTTGTGGCAGCCATCTTGTGTCCACATGGGGGCAGCCATCTTTGACTACATGGGAGTGGCCATCTTATGTCTTGGTGTGATGGTCAATTTGCATATTACTCTTTTATTAGATAGGACACTTTTGGAGCACATGGAACACAATTATAACTACCAGAGGCCCAATGCACAAAATTCATGCACGGGTACAGTCCCTAGGCTTGGCCTATGATCAGCACCATCTTCCCCAGCTGCCTGAAGCCGACTCCACCCTGCACCACCATCTACCCCAGTTCCCCTTTTGCCATTGGGTGATCAGAGTCTGCTGTCCAGAAGAGATTGAGAGGTGGTCAGGGTGCCTCATAGTGACTGGTCAAGTGGTCATTCTGGTCATTCTGCCATTAGGGTCAATTTGCATATTACCCTTTATTATATAGGATGTTATCTTAATGTTCTTATCTAATACTTATTCTAACATCTGTGCAAGTCATGGGTTGGCTTCAATTGATTGATCTAGCTACTAATTATGTGTAATATTTTCCTGGTAATTTTAAAAAAATAAATCTTTATTGTTCATATTATTACAGTTGTTCCCCCCCACACAAACACACAATAGCTCCCCTTCACCAGGTTCCTACCCCACCCCACTGTCCTCTTTCATAGGTGTAAGATTTTTGTCCAATCTCGACCCACACCCCTCACACCCTCTTCCCCCAAGAATTGTCAGTCCACTCCCTTTCTACACCCCTGATTCTATTATACTCATCAGTTTATTCTGTTCATCAGATTTTTTATTCACTTGATTTTTAAATTCACTTGATAGATATGTATTTGTTGTCATTTTGTTGTTCATAATTTTTATCTTTACCTTGTTTCTTCTTTTTCCTCTTCTTAAAGGATACCCTTCAGCATTTCATATAATACTGATTTGGTGGTGTTGAACTCCTTTAGCTTTTTTCTTATCTGTGAAGCTCTTTATCTGACCTTCAATTCTAAATGATAGCTTTGTTGGGTAGAGTAACCTTAGTTGTAGGTTTTTGCTATTCATCACTTTGAATATTTCTTGCCATTCCCTTCTAGCCTGCATAGCTTCTGTTGAGAAATCAGCTGACAATCGTATGGGTGCTCCCTTGTAGGTAACTATTTTTCTCTTGCTGCTTTTAAGATTCTCTCTTTGTCTTTTGCCCTTGGCATTTTAATTATGATGTGTCTTGATGTGGTTCTCTTTGGATTCCTCTTTTTGGGGTTCTCTGTGCTTCCTGGGCTTCTAAGTCTATTTCTTTCACCAGGCAGGGGAAGTTTTCTGTCATTATTTCTTCAAATAGGTTTTTAATATCTTGCTTTCTCTCTTCTTCTGGCACTCCCATAATTCAGATATTGGTATGCTTGAAGTTGTCCCAGAGGCTCCTTACACTATCTTCATATTTTTGGATTCTTTTTTCATTTTGCTTCTCTGGTTGGGTGTTTTTTGCTTCTTCGTATTTCAAATCTTTGACTTGATTCTTGGGGTCCTCTAGTCTACTGTTAAATTTCTGTATATTATTTTTTTAAAAAAATATATATTTTATTGATTTTTTTACAGAAAGGAAGAGAGAGGGATAGAGAGCTAGAAACATTGATTAGCAGCCTCTTGCACATCCCCTACTGGGGATGTGCCCTCAACCAAGATACATGCCCTTGACTGGAATTGAACCTGGGACCTTTCAGTCCGCAGGCTGATGCTCTATCCACTGAGCCAAACCAGTTTCTGCTGTATATTATTCTTTATTTCAGTTATATATGCTTAATTTCTGATTGGTTCTTTTTCATATCTTTGAGGGTCTTATTAAATTTCTCAAAGGTTTCTAGAAGATTCTTGAGTAACCTCATAACCATGGTTTTAAACTCTATATCTAGTATTTTGCTTTCATCTATTTCTTTCATTTGTGATTTTTTAATTTGTCTTCACATTTTGGCTATTTCCCTGTGTTTGTTTCTATGTACTGGGTAGCTGCTAAGTCTCCTAGAGTTGATAGAGTGGCCTGTGTGGTTGGTGTCCTATAACGCCCAGTGGCTCAGCCTCCCGCATCACCTGAGGTGGACACACTTGGTGCACCCCTTTGTGAGTTGTTTGTACAGTATTGTTGTAGTTAATACTTGATTGCTATTGATATCATTGGGAAGGATTGGCTTCCAAGCTGATTGGCTGTGATAATCAGCTGTGTCTACACTGGAAGATCCGTTGTACAGAAGACACCTTCAGTGGGGCTTTAGTGCTCACTGAATCTGCCCCATGAGTATGTCTCTTATGGATGTGAAGAGCTGTAATCTGTATGATCTCACTCTGAACCCTGGGCACACTGGCTCTTAGATCTCCAAGGACATGCAAGCTCAGCCACTGTCTGCAGCCGCCCACCAGGAGCTACAGAGACATCTGCAGATCCCTCCTCTTTGTATGGGGTTTGGACGTACCCAGAGGAGGCCCTGCTGTGAAGCAAGGCAGGCAGGGCCTTGGGCTTTCTTTTGGAAGCTCTGGACTTTCTGACCCAGCTGCAATTTGTTAGGTTTTAGGCAAAAGAGCAGGCCGTTCATATGCAAAAGATGCTGCACACAGCTTGGAGAGGGCAGGGTCTCTGGGAGTCACCAGGGCAGAGCAAACAGCAGTGGCTGCCAGTGCGCCCTGAACGGGAGAAGTCCCCGGTTCTCAATGTCTAGCAACCCTGTGCAGTAACAGTAATTGATGCGAATCCCTCTAAGAGAAAGGCACCCTCACGTTCCTGGCCCAATGCCAGATAGTCCAGTCTCTCGCCATATGTGTCAGGGTCTCCCAGAGTCTTGTCCAGAACTGGAGTTCAGAGCAAGCAGAAGCTTATATTTCCCTCCCGATTAAAAGATCAGCACATCCAGGTGCCAGCACTTTCTGCACCTCCATACCTCCTACCAGTCTCAATGTGCTTTCTTCACCTGTCTAGTTGTGGAACTTCCACTCAGCCAGCCTTACCACAGTTCTGAGTGGTAGTTATTCTGCTGTTTAGTTGTCATATTGATGTGGTTGTGAGAGGCAGCAAGTACAGGCACTTACCTAGGCTGCCATCTTGGTTCTCTTCCTGGTAACTTTTGATTGGATGTCAGACCTGGTGATTTTTGCGTTATTGGTTGCTGAATATTTTTGTATTTTTATAAATATTCTTAAGCTTTTCCCTGGGATCAGTGAAGTTATTTGATCCTTTGGGTTTTGCTTTTAAGATTTGTTAGGCAGAACTAGAGTTGTGCTCAATCTAGGACTAATTACACCCACAACTGAGGAAATGCCTTCTCTTCACAATGCTCTGAGTCTCGACAGTGTGGCTGGTGGGAATAGTCACTCTTCCAAGCCCCATCTGAGCACCATAATCTCAATCTTTTGAATGTTTTTCCCCCTTCAACTTGTTTGGTTGCCTCACACATAAGTGCTGACCAGTACTCAGTTGAAAGCTATAAGGGGACCCTCTGCAGATATTTGGATCTCCCGGTCTGTGCAGGTCTCTCCTCTCTGGTACTCTATGAATCTTATGTCTACTTTGCCAGCTGATAAAGGTCCCTGGTGGAGAAAATGTTGGCACTTCTAGCATCAGTGGACTTCTCGCATCCAATGATTATGAAAACAAAAGCAGAAAGGGTTACTAAAGGGAAATGTGATTTCAGCCCCCTTAAAGTTTATATTTAATTCTAAGAGCAATCATTTTCTTGAAAATAATTAAAGTCCCTGGGCTGTATTAATGCTCTTGGACATTCATCATTCAGTGAACTTTTTGTTGTTGTCACAGGTTATGTATTATTTAGGCAATAATTGATGTTTACCAGGGAACAAAATTTGGTAGGTATAGATTAAAACTTCAAAGTGAAAAAAAGGGACTGTTTAGGTTCTAGATAACTTGGTGACTGTAAATCTCTGCTACAGTTCCAGACACCTGGACAGATGTCCCCTGCAGTGTTTCACGACCCTCCACCCCTGGGATGCTGATGGGCAGTATGGGGTGGAAATTAGAAAAGATGAATGTGGACCATGAGGAGGCTAGTGCTAGGTAATGGACAGCCTGTTTCCCACCCACAGGTGCTTTTTTCATCCCCTACCTCATCTTCCTTTTCACCTGTGGCATTCCTATCTTCCTTTTGGAGACAGCACTGGGCCAGTACACTAGCCAGGGAGGCATCACAGCTTGGAGGAAGATCTGCCCCATCTTTGAGGGTGAGTATCTGTGTTCTGATTCCAGGGTATCTGCATTGGGGATAATAAATCTATTTGAAATGACTGAGTGGTTTAGCAGACATGCTGATTGAGATAAGATTCTGTGTCGTTATGTTAAACCCTCCATTTATGGGCCCAGTACTGAACTATGGAAAAGATGGTAATGAGGATAGGATAAAGGCTTTAGGTTAAATAAGTAGAGTGCAAAGCTATTTTAGTTATATACTTTAAATATATATTAGTATATATAACAATGATTTTTCTATTTTCAAAATATACGTAATCAATTACAAAACATTTTAAAAGAGAATTTTATAATAATTCTACCATCTTGACACAACAGCTATTTAAAATTTAGGGTGTTTTATTTCAATATTTCTCTTTATGTAAGATTTTTATAAGTTTCTATTTTGAAATAATTGTATATTCACAGAAAGTTGCAAGAATATAGTACAGAAAGGTCATCTGTACACTTCATGCAGTTTTCCTCAATGGTAATATCTCTGTATATAAAAGCCTAAGCAACTGTTTGACTGTTTGACTGTTCGACCAATAGCTATGATGTGCACTGACCACCAGGGGCAGACGCTCAATACACAGGCATGGAAATATGGAACAGACTGATGAATCTCAGAAGGAAGGGGGAGGACAGGAAGAGATTAACCAAAGATCTTATATGCATACTAGAAACCTGGTGCATGGATTCGTGCACCCATAGGGTCCCTCGGCCTGGCCTGCGCCCTCTCGTAATCTGGGACCCCTTGAGGGATATCAGACTGCTGGTTTCTGCCCAGTCCCCACAGGCCAGGCTGAGGGACCCCACTGGTGCATGAATTTGTGCACTGGGCCTCTAGTGTTGCATAACTATAGAACAATATCACAAGTTGGAAACTGACATTGATACTATCCACAGGCCTTAATCAAATTTCACCAGTTTCCCTTGCACTCATTTTTATAATTCTGTGTAATTTTATCACTCTGGTGTGTAGCTTTGTGTAACACCACCACAATCAAGGTACAGAACTGTTCCATTGCCACAAAGATCTGTTGTGCTCCTCCTCTATAGTCACATTACCCCACTTGCCCCACTCCTAACCTAAAGCAACCACTAAGTTGATCTCTATTTCTATAATTTTGTCATTTTGAGAATGTTGTATAGATGGAAACATACAAAATATAACCTCTTGAGATTGGCTTTTTCACTCAGCATGATGCCTTTGAGATTCATCTAGTTTGTTCTTTTATCAATAGTTCATTCCTTTTCATTTTGAATAGTATTCCATGGTATGGATATATCACAGTTTAACCATTCACCCATTGAAGAATTTTGGATTGTTTCCAGTTTGGGGAAGGGGGTGGGTATTTATTTCTGTCTACATAGAATTTACATATCTATTAGCATGGAATACACACAGTTTATAGCTCTGTTTATAGTCAGTGTTATTTTCTACTTTATATACAACATTTAATGATTATATAAACTTACAGCAAGTAGATAAATTATAATTTACTTAACAGTTCTTTGTTTTGGGCTTTTTCTTATTTTCACTTCCTTATAAAATTGTTAAGTTCTGCTATCATGTGTATTTGTAGATAGATTATAATTTACTCTACAGTTCTTTGTTTTGGGCTTTTTCTTATTTTCACTTCCTTATAAAATTATTAAGTTCTGTTATCATGTGTATTTGTTGACATAGATTTACCCCTCACCCCCTTTTTGGTATAAATTTGCAGGATTAGAATCACTGGGTCAAATGGATGATCAAACTGATGTCTCTTAACTGGCTTATTAAATTGTCCTGTAGAAGTTTTATACTGATTTACAGTGTCGCTAGACATGAGTAAGCATCCTTCCCTTCTATTTTTAATAACTCTGAATTTCCAAATTCCTCCACATATTGGAACCACCTGGGGACCTTTAAAACATCCTGTACCACACCCCCAGAGTATAATTTAATTGGTCTGGGGTCTGGCTTAGGCTTTGGAATTTTTTAAATATTTCCAGGTAATTCTAATATGCAGACAAGTTTGGAAATTAATGAGCTATATCATTTGTAAAAAATTTCACTTGGGCTGTAGTTGCAGAATGGTACCTCAGTGTTGTTATATTTTGCACACCTGCAATTATTAGGGAGGATCTATTTGTATTTTCTCCTATGAAAATTATCTGTTCCTGCTCTTAACAGATGCTTTTATATTTCAGAAATATATCAGACTAATTCTGGGGAACACTAACTATTGGAATCTCGGAGTTAGTCTACCCATTTACAAAATAACCTCAACTTGGTGAACTTTCAGAACCTAATAGAGATGTCAGTGCACAGGAAGCCAAGACAGGGCAGCAGAGTCTGGGCAAAAGGCCCCCTCCTGACCAGGGCTGTTGGAGCGAGCAGCACACCTACCTGCTGGGAGGGAGAGGACAGCTGGGAGCCACGGCTCCAGCACTTCTTTTTTTTCCTTCTTTATTGATTAAGGTATTACCTATGTGTCCTTATCCCCCCATGGCGCCCCCCCCCCCCCACTTGGATTCATGCCCTTACCCCCTGGTGTCTGTGTCCATTGGTTATGCTTATATCCAGCACTTCTTGTTTTAGGACACTGACAGCAGAGCCCAAACCCTCTGTTAAGCAGGGGTGGGCAGTGTGTGAGAGCTCTGTCCACTGTCCCTGGCTCAGTTCTGCCCCATTTCCTCCAGGCATCGGCTATGCCTCCCAGATGATCCTCATCCTCCTCAATGCCTACTACATCATTGTCCTGGCCTGGGCCCTCTTCTACCTCTTTAGCAGCTTCACCATCGACCTTCCCTGGGGAAGCTGCCGCCATGAGTGGAATACAGGTAAGGTCATCTCCGAATCCATTTCCTCCAGCCACGTGAACCAGGAGTGGGATTGTCCCTTATTCCAGGCAACCCGATTCCCAGCCATAACTTGTGACTCGCTAGAACTCTGGGAAGTGAATACCAAAGATAAGAGTGAGATTTCACCAGCATCAGAGGCAAAATGTATTCAATTACTGTATTATGAATTAATGTATGCAAATAGAACTATTTATGTAGTTTAGTTACTAGTATTTATTTATTCCAGTTTGAAATATTGTTAGTTTGGTATTTGTATATATTATTTGTACATTTTCTTGTTTCTCATGCCTTTTCTCTGATACTGTTTTAGGTCTTTCCAACCCACAATTCACCTGGCTTTAAGGAGCTGTTTTGTATGTCATTAATATAATTTATAACAGCAATTAATTTTCTCTTGTGCCTGCAAGACTACAAGAGCCACCTGTGGCATTAAAACTACTAAGTCTAATGAATTGAAAGGAATGAAAACTTAAAAATACCTAGGGTATTGCTATCCAAAAGAACTTTGTGATGTGGTACTATCTCAAATGGTAGCCAACATGTGATTATTGAGTACTTGAAATGGCTTGGTGTGCCGAACCTTCGAGGAAAGTGACCTGTCTAGTGAAAACAGTGCTCGGCTAGCATTGCCATCCAACACATATTATTGAGCTCCAACTCTGTTCTAAGAACCGAGGGTGTGGTAACGTAAAAAGGAAGGTCCCTGCCTGCATGGAATTGTCATTCTAGTGACAGGAGACAGACAGACCGTACACAAAATAAACGAGCAATAGGTATCATGTGAGAAGGGCTGTGGAGAAAAATAAAACAGGGAGGAGGTTTTGGGAATTTTAGGGGCGGGGGTGTAATTTTAAGTGGGTCATCAGTGAAGGCTTTAGGAGAAGATGACAGGAGTAATGCTCTAAGGAGGCTGGGGAGTGAGCCACTGAGACAACAGGAGACAGACACTAGGTGGCAGGGACTCCCAGTCAAAGGCCCTGGGGGACCAGTGCCAATAGCACCCAGGGAACAACAGGGGTGGTGGAGCTGGAGCAGGTGAGCAGCAGCAGTGGCAGGCGAGGCCAGAGGAGATGGGTAGATTAAATCGGGCCTTGGAAGTGATTATAGGGGTGTTGGCTTTTTTTCTCTGAGTGGGATAGGAAACCTTTTGGAGAGTTTTGAGCTGGGGCATGACATAAAATGTGACTTAAGTTTTAACAATGTCACTCTGACTGCTGTATGGAGATTTGGCTAGGGAGGCAAGGGTACAGGCTGGAGTGGGGAGATATGACATGGTGGTGACCTGCGCCAGGGTGGTGGCAGTGGGACAATGAGAAAGGTCAGATTCTAGGTATTTTGAAGATAGAACATACACAGCTCACTGGGCTGCATTCTAGCCCTCAGTCACTTACCAGCTAAGACAGGCCTTTTCTAAGCAGACTCCCTTTCTTCATGTGTACGATGGGGAAAATACTCTCTGTCTTAACATTTTTGAAGATTACTGTACTAATAAAGCATAAAAAATACTGTCGACATGCTTTGTGAAACTCCAAAATCATGAACAAATAATTAAGAACTACTACTTATTGAGTACTTTACAGACATGCTTTCATTTGATTCCTGTCGGTCCTACGAAGGGATATCCTCATGCTGTTTGGGAGCTGAGGGGTGTGGGGCTTGGAGAGAGGGCCTGGCCGCCAGCCAGCACTTTCCCCGTGCTCCTTAGCGACGTGGATGCGTAACGTCCTAGAAGGCTTCGTAGTATTTTCCAAAGGCTGTGACTTTACACACAACATGTCCCTGGGAATAGTTATCTACTTTGAAGTGTCTTTCCTGATGCCCTCTGGTCACGCTTTAGTAACAATATGCACCCAAACGTTTAGAAACCGACAAGTGAAAGCACGCGGGAGAGGGTGGCATGGGCCTGCCGAGGTTACATGTTTAAGGGTGTTTTGTACAGACAACTTCAGCCCAGTTCCTTCCAGGTACCTCACTTCCCTTCTCCTGCAATCTCCCCCCAAATACTGATTAATGGTTTTTCTCTCGCTTCCTTCCCTGGGGCCCGGGAGTAGAACACTGTGTGGAATTCCAGAGGACCAATGGCTCCCTGAATGTGACCTCTGAGAACGCCACCTCTCCTGTCATCGAGTTCTGGGAGTAAGTGAGGCCCGTGCTTTACCCCGCGGCGGGCTGTGTGTTTGGAAGAAGGCCACAGGGATAGGCTCAGCAGGCAGTGACTCCCAGTGGGCGACAAGGCGAGCTTTTCTGTTTCCTTCGCTGGTGGCCCCGTCACCTCGGCGGCTTTTTTCTGCTGTGTCCCTATTAGTGGTTCATGCAGAATAGGTTTCAGAGATGAGGATTTTGCAGCTCTCCTGTCTCTCCTCTCCCATGTGTCCACCCCCCTGTTAGCTGGTGCACACCCACGGGTGTCCACACCCCCAACTGTCCTCCTCTCCTCAGCCACATGTGCATTGTCTCTTATCTTCCCTTCCTCAATAAAACCGATATTCGTCTAGGGCATGATTCCTCATATCAAAACGCCCAATAACCCTGGTTAAGAAGACCAGGGTTTACGCCTCCTTCTCTAGGTTAAATTGGTAGTCAGCCTCCCAGAGCAGACTTACCTGGGAGCAGTTTACATTTGCCTCAGTTTATATCTACCCCCATCTCTGGGCAAAGGAGAGCCTGATGGGTTCAGGTGACAAGAGCTGACAAGCCTTTGGACAAGAGCCTGGAGGCGTAGCTCCACTGCCGGAGATGTAAGGGCCATGACATGGAGGCCGGCAGCCACGCGGATCCTGGCTCAGCCCTCTCTCCCCAGGAGGCGGGTCCTGAAGATTTCCGATGGCATCCAGCACCTGGGGGCGCTGCGCTGGGAACTGGCCATATGCCTCCTGCTTGCCTGGGTCATCTGCTACTTCTGCATCTGGAAGGGGGTCAAGTCCACGGGCAAGGTCCGTGTTAGAGAGCTCCTGGCCCTCCCATCCCAGGACTCCCTGCCTTCACTGGGGGTCCAGTTACCTGAGAGTTTCCGAAGTTGCAACTTATTCAGGATGAAAGGGAATGACCCAACAAAGACTTCTAAGTCTTGCCCTTTGATTCGATGCCTCTCCCGAGTTCAATCCCAAATCCTTCGGCTCTTCCAGGAAATTAAATGGAAGAGAGAGAGGATGGGTGGGTGGGAAAGGACACTTCCATAAGAATTTGACCTTGGACTATACCACATAATCGGGCACATTGCAAATAGGACATAGTTCATGGCTCCCTAGCTCAACAGTTCTTTGGAAAAGGAATTCCATTATGATCATCAGTCTCAAAATGATTTCAAATCAACCTGAGGAGTTGGGGGGACTCTTTGCCCTAGGGTGTATGGGAATCAGAAGGGCATTCTGAGTTCCCCAGACTCTTGCCTTGGAGGCCTTGGGCACGGCTTTCTTCCTAATCTGGCTGCCTGGTTGCACTAAGCTTGTAAGCTCTGTGAGGACAGGGATCGTGTGTTACAGATCTTTTCATACCTGACATCCCTTGTCATGCCTGTGGGGAGAATGCCTAAGTTCATTCAGTCACTCAACAAATATTTGTTGGGTGTGTGTTGGGGGAAGGTGAGTGCTTTAGGCAAAAGTGGGGAGGGGAGAGGTTTGGGCCCACAGTTAGGGGAGGTGGGACTGAGGTGAGAGGGTAGGAACAGATGGGGAGCCCCTCTGACCTCCTCTGTAGCTGGGGAGCTCCTGCCTCCAGTCTCCAGCCCCCTCTCTCCTACTCACACGTTTCTTGTCTCTCATCTGCCCCCTGGCCAGGTGGTGTACTTCACAGCCACGTTCCCTTACCTCATGCTGGTGGTCCTGCTAATTCGAGGGGTGACACTGCCCGGGGCAGCCCAAGGGATTCAGTTTTACCTGTATCCAAACCTCACACGTCTGTGGGATCCCCAGGTAAGAAGACACAGACAAGGGTTGTCCTGTAGCTCTGGAGGTGCTTGAGCTGCAGACCAGCCCTGCTCCTGGCCCAACCCTAAAGCACCCACGATGGGCCAGAAGATGGCAGGCACCTGTTAGCAGCTGTGCGTAGCCCCCTCCTTGGCCCACAGCTGCCAGGGAAGCCAGGGGGGCCTGAGGCCCTCGTAATATTTCTCAGGAGTGTCAAATATGTCACTCACAGCCTGTACTCACAGGCTGGACCCTATCTACCCATCTCCCCTGGGCCATCTTATGTCCCACCTAGCTTCTTCTCTGTTTACTAACCCTCCACCAGCTCCTGGCTCCCTCCCTCTGTCAGAATGCCCCTCTCTGGGCCCAGCTCCCAGCTGGGCGGTGTTGAGTTGCCTGTCAGTCATCAGGAGGTCCCGCCCCCTTCCGGGCCCTCTCAGGGAGGGGGCGGTGCTGCCTGCTGACTGGAGGGGTCTGTACCGCGGGCCTGAAGGAGGAAGCGCCGCCTCTGGCGGGTTTCCTCTCTCCTGTTTGGCTGCCTCTGCTGGAGGGCCGGGTGTGGGGGAGCTCCCCCGTCCCCCCCAAACCCTGAGATGTGCCACCAGCTCGGCGCCGGCCTTCCCCAGGGGACATGCGCACAAGGTTTCTTTCCTTCTGTCGGGCCTACTGTCCTCTGTTAGGTTAATAAGGCCTCCTCTCTCCGCGCTGGAGGCTCTCGGCCTGACAGGGACCCTGGGGAGACTGGGGCGGGAGAAGATGAACAAGTGGCAGTGAGGCGCCAGCACAGGCACTGACTAAGCTGCAACTTAGGGAGCAAGAGAAAAGGAGTGGCACTCGCTTCCACAGTCCCTCCGGGCGACTCGGTGCACGCAGAGGCAGTGGCTCCTCCTTGTGCGGAATTTGGGGTGATACAGCTCAGTTATCCCGGTCTCCCAGCCATCCTGAGTCCTACCAGGGCTGCCCGGCTCCGCAGTCAGAAACATCCCCATGGGGTCAAGTTGCCTGGGTATTTCTCAGTGGTCTGCTGGTGGGACATGAGCTCCTCCTCCTCCCCCTCTCCTCCTCCTCCTCCTCCTCCTCCTGCTCCTCCTCCTCCTCCTCCTTCTCTCCCCCTCCTCCTTCTTTCTTCTCCTTCTCTTTTCTTCCTCTTCTTCCTCCTCCTTCTCCTTTCTTCCTTCTCCTCCCCCTCTTCCCCCTCCCCCTCCTCTTTCTCCTCCCCCTCCCCCTCTTCCTCCTCCTCCCCCTCCTCCTTTCTTCCTCCTCCTCCTCCTCTTCCTCCTCCTCCTCTTCCTCCTCCTCCTCTTCCTCCTCCTCCTCCTCCTCCTCCTCCTCCTCCTCCTCCTCCTCCTCCTCCTCCTCCTCCTCCTCCTCCTCCTTCCTTCTCCTCTCCCATGTCTTAGTCATAACAGCGCTACAGATGGCTGCTGCGTCATCTCCAGTTGGGCACAGGGATGCAGTTGGCTTTGGCGACAAACTGTAGAGCCATCGCCATGGGAGCTAAAAGGGCTCCAGAGGTCACGCAGAGCAAGCTCCTCGTAGCACAAATGAGCAAACGGAGCCTCAGCAAGTGGCAGTCAAAAAGGTCACACAGCAAGCCGCAGGCCAAACACAGTGCACTTTTATTTTGTGACTCATAAGCCCTATGGCTTATCTGCACCAAAGGGTGTGATGGAGAGTCTGGGGCAGCAGAGCGGAGGGAGGCTTTGGAGGCCAGGTGCTGGGTTTGGCTGGGATCCCCCCTGCGAGAGGGAGCCATCCTGGTTCTGGAGCAGCTGAGCCACAAATCCCACCTTTGTTTGGAGTTCAGGCCAGGAGATAGGCAGGTGGGCGGAGAGAGAAAAAGGAGAAAGGGCCCAGAAACGGGTTTAGGGCTTCTGTGATCAGTACCTTGTTTGTCCTGATCAGTGACTTACAGCTAAACACTGTTGAGTGCTTACAGTGGCCCCGGCATTAAGAGGTTTACATGCATTATTTCAGCTAATCCTCACGGCCGGTCAACGAGGTACTCTTGTTTTATAGATAAAGAAACGAAGGCCTGAAGAGCTTAAAGAATTTTCTGTCCTTGTACCTGCACCTGGAATCCAGGTCTGAGTGATAAAAACTCCAAATACTTTATAATCTCCTGAAGACAAAGTCCCCATTTGTGTGTGTGTGTGTGTGTGTGTGTGTGTGTGTGTATCTTCCAGCAACATAAAGAAGGTGGACCAGATAGCTGTAAACGCTGAGAGTTAATAAGGCCATCCTTCTGTGTCTGAGTCACTGGAGGGAATAGACCTCTTTAAACCTGCTCTCCAGGTTACCATCTTTCCACTCCCAGCGCGAGCTGTGCGGGAAGGATGCTTCTTCAAGGGCCAGGCTTGGTCCTGAGCTTTCCAGCTGCCTGCCTTGTTAGCTGCCTGGCCCTGGCCCCATGCTGGAGTGAGGCCCTGGTTGTCTGTGAGCAGAGCAGCCCCTGCAGGGTGGATGTCCTGCCAGAGCACTAATTGGATGTAGTTGGCACCCCCCAGGAAGTGTGATAATTCCAGCTGGCATTTGCTTGGCACTTGAGAAAGGTACAAATCCCTGCTAGCCAACACAAAGACCAAAGACCTCTCTCTATGAGCACTCAACGTGAGAGTGGGGAGCCCGGCAGACACAGAACTGGGTGCTCTGGCGTCCTCTTTCCTGCCAGGCTCTGTGTGCAGGGGGCTGCTGTCCTGGCACTCCCCAGGGCTGTCTCTGTCCCACGAGGAGCTCCGCTGGTGCCATGTATGCTTCATTCGGGCGCTTGTTTCTTTCCTTCTGTGGGTCCTACTGTCCTCTGTTAGGTTGGCAAGGGCAGGGCCTGGGAGGAGGGTGTCCAAAGAGCCTTTGTTGAACCTTTTAAATCTCTGCTAAATGAGTCTAATTAAGGGTTTATTTAGGGAGGAGTTTGGAACCACTGAGTCTTTTAATTTTGACATCGTACATTGAAATCTATGGGACCTCATATACACCTGAAACAAATATAATAATGTCTGTCAACTTAATTGAAAAATTAAAAAAAGATCTTCCTTTTAAAATGAAGATTTATGAATTGGGTGTCATCCCACCTAGTACACAGAAGGGTGGCCCCGAACGTTGTACAAATTGGAAGGTTTTTGTGGGCAGACCCTGGGCGGGACGGAGACGTTATTGGCAGAAGAAAAGAGGGTTGTTTCTCTGAGGAAGGGGAAGGGTATGGGGGACTTTAGAGGGCAGAGGACTCTAAGCCAGACTGGCGTAAGGTCACATCCCTAGGAGGAGCTGAGAACTGCAGTTACGGTTTGACTTGTGTGGAGTGGGAGGTGGGACACCACCTGTCTCTTTCTTAGCACCTGGGAAAAGAGAAGGAAACCTGGTCACAGGACGCAGCTCTCACATTCCTACTGCAGGGTACCCAACATGGATTAAATATCTATTTGCAGTTTCAAACTCTCTTAGAAACATAATCTTGATCAGCCTGTCCGGGATTTTCTGGTCAAGACCAATGAGATAATTTCTACAGAAGAAAGAGGCAATCTTCGAAGTAAAAATCTTTCACCAAAAAAGACATCCTGGCCCATTTCTTTTGCTGATTGATTCCTTCCCCCATCCTTCTTCCTACGGAAACTTTTATTTTGTCCAAGCCCACCAGAGTGCCTTTTTAGTTGCTAGATGGCACCCTGCCTGGTTCATGAACTGCTTAGTAACTGCTAATAAATCCACGGGGCCTCATCATAGCTGAAAGGTGGGCTGCTTTTTAAAAATATGTAACCCAACAACAAACCAGCGATGGCTGACACCTCGGTCATGTGTTTTCTACTTGCCAGGCACTTGGCTAAGTGTGTGACACGGTGCATCGTGCCACCAGTCCTGGGAGTGAGGTGTTAGCCTCACTTTACAGATGAAGAAACCGAAGCTTAGAAAACTGAAGAAATTTGTCCCAAATCACAAAACTAGCATGTAGTTTTTTGGAGTCTGCTGACACCATGATATCCATTTTCCAAAGAATATTAATTATTTGAGAGTTTTAGCTATTTTTTTTTTTTATTATCTCAGGAGGTGGAATAGAGAACTCATATTTATGTTTGGCATTTTACATACATCATTTTATTTATTATTATTCCCATTTTCCTGATGAAGAAAATAAGGTTCAGGAGGATTGACTTGCCTAAGATCATAAACCCAGGCTTTTCCCAATACACACTATTGCCTTCCTAAAAATAGTAGGTATAATAATCCTTGGGGTTGGACTCAAAGTTGAAAACATCTTTTCTGTACCTCCTAGAGCTCACACTCTCTTCCTTTGTGCCCCCAGAGAGTTCCTTTCTGCCCACGCTCCCACCAGGGTCTTGCACACTTGTTTTATTCTTGGTTAGTCTTCTGCCCCAGCCGAAGACACATCGGAGCTTTGTTCCAGAAACCAGGGCCCTGGCACAGGCAGGGAGTGGGCCGCCTGCCGTGGGAACAGAACAGCTTGCTCTGCTGGTTCCGTCAGCCCTTCTTCTGACCCCATTCCTTCCCCCTGTCCCAGCAGGCCTGTCAGGCAGCAGCTGTGCAGAGAGCTGGGCTGGCCAAGCTCCCAGTGAGGGGGCCTTAGTCAGAGGCGTCATATCTGACCTCTCGCTCTGAACTCGCAGCCCCCTGCTGCCTTCTCCTCTGTTCTCGGTAACCTCTCCTCACAACTTCGCCTTGGTCTGTCCCCCTCAGGGTGAGGTAAACTGCCAAGTCACAATTTCTCTTCCCAAGCCCAAGCTTACAAAACTTTATAAGCACAGGACATGCACCCCGGCCAGCAGGTGGGCACCGGGCCGTTTCCTAGCGCTGTGTGGGCCCACCTCACCCTGTGGCTGCGAGGCACACGGAGCAAACCTCCCAGGCCGACGGCCTGTTATGAAAGATCATCTGACCTCATGGCAGAGGGAGCCCCAGGCGGAGAAGCATCCTCCCCAGCCCCGTACCTCTGACCCCCGGTGAATCCATGGACAAGCTCAGCGTTGCTCGTAAGCCACTGAGTGAGCAGAAGGGAGACAGAAGAGAGTGACCTTCAGATCAGAGGTCAGCGAGTTTTCCAGAGTTGACAATTCTTACAGTATCTGGGGTTGGGGGGGGGGGGGCAGGCAGAGTATTAGAAGAAAAAAATGATTTAAAACAGCTCCTCAGCCCTGGCCAGGTGGCTCAGTTGGTTGGAGCATTGTCTCATACATAAAAAAATTGTGGGTTCCATTCCAGGTCAGAATATATGTCCAGGTTTGGGTTTGATCCCAATTGAAGGGCATATAGAAATGACTGATCAATGTTTCTGTCTCACATCTCTTTCCCTCTCCCTCTCCCTTCTTCTCTCTAAAATCAATAAACATATCCTCATGTGAGGATTAAAACAAACAAAAATCTCAAACTTTTGTCATCAAACTGAATTTTGTAAATATCCCATTCTTGTGTGCAGGTTCTTTCTTTTCATCCTTACCCGAATCTTTCTTTTGCTTCAGAATAAATCCTGATGACCCCTCTCCTTCCCATTGTAATTTCTCTCATGTTTAAAAAGTCCCCAGTGTTTCCATCCTCCATACTATTTCTTGGTAGCGGCCCTTCTGGCTCCGCCTCAGCCCTTGGTGGCAGCTTCTGCCTCACAGAATTCCTTGGGGCTGGGAGCCACAGTGAGCAGGAGGCCGGAGGCTAGAGATATTCCCCTCTTTCCTTCACCACCTTTCCCTGCTCTTTCCCCATTCCTGCAGAAACGGAAATATAGCAAGAGGAGCGCTTGCCAGGATGCATCTCTAACGCCAGCCTGGAGGCTGTAGGGCAGCGATTTCCACATCTGATGCTCAGGAGGCTCACCCAGGAGGCTTTGGACACAATACAGATTTCTGGGTTCTCCTTTAGCCCTAGAGACTCCATGTCTCCACTGGGGATGCTGGTTGAGGAATCAATGTGATTCTGATGTAGTCAGCTTGCCAGCTGGGACCCACTATCCCTGGGACTCACTATCATGCTGAACAAAATGGCACTTTGCTGGGTGAGTTTAGACAGAGAGAGAGGTGTGGAGAGGAGAGAGAGAGAGAGAGAGAGAGAGAGAAGGACACTGAGGGTGGTGGCCATGTTAGGGGGGAGGGAGGACAGGTAAGGTCCTTAGGAGCTTTGGACAGAACGAAGCTGAGGCTTGGGTGTGTGGGCGCCTTGGGACCCTGATGCAGTGAAAGGAAAGTGGGCGCTTGTGTGGGGCCCACAGGGTAGAGCCAGACAACAGCCAAGAAACGGGAACACAGAGATGTTGGGACAATTGCCGGTCTCCAGGGCTCGGAGCTCCCTCATAGAGCTCACATCACACCCTCCGAAGGCAGGAGGTGCCCTGAGGATCTGTCGCCCCAGGACCCCACCTCCTGCCAGTCTGCGGGGTTGCCTAGTCCTGTTTGCCTTGATGTTCTCTCTCTTTGGGATGTTATTCTAGCTGTTAGACCTAAACCATGCAGGCTGGGTCAGCAGCTGAGGCAACAGTGACAACAGCATCCCTGTGTTTAGCTGGAGAGCTCATCCCCCCCAACGAGAACAAAGGCCTTTGCAGATGCATTTCTGTCCACACTCCTGACTTTCTGGTGAGCTGAGGATTCCTCTTCCCGCTTTTCACCCGGAGGGTTTGGGGGCACGAGGGGAAAAGCTTCATCCCAGGTAGCGCTGACATTATGGACCATTAACTCTAGAGATCCTGTCTCTGGACCTTTCCAAACTGGTCACACCTCCGGGAGAGCCCAGGACAGGAGGACGGAGGCAGAACCGGGGCTTTGTTTCTTTTATGGAAGCCTGCTGCCAGGCCTCGCGAAGCTCAGAGCTCCCTCCCACCCGCTCCCCTCTCCACCATGGCCCTTCAGTCTTCTTCCAGTGCCTGATGCCAATGCCACCTTGGCAGAGCTCGGGAAGCCCCACCCAGGGGCTCAGGAAGCAGAGCCCATGGGGGTCACAGGGCTGCAGCGGGGCCTGCACAGGCTGAGGGCAGGATTCTTGTCATCTCTAGCCAGTGCCCGGCTCAGCCGTGGTCCGTGTGCCCCCACGGAGCCCAGGTGCCCTGGTTCCTGGGGTGCAGCTCTCTCGCCTTTTCCCTGTGCAGGTGTGGATGGACGCGGGCACCCAGATCTTCTTCTCCTTCGCCATCTGTGTAGGGTGCCTGACGGCCCTGAGCAGCTACAACAAGTACCACAACAACTGCTACAGGTGACTGGGGAGTGGGCCTGAGCCACAAACCCGCCTCCCACGGTCCCTCTGGCCACGCTGGGTCAGGGGTGATTTCATAGGTTCACCCACCCCCACTCTGCACCCCACGCTCCAATACTCCAGGGCTACCGGTCGCCGAAAGGCACCAATGGCAGCCCAGGCAAACGGTGGGCTGGGGAGCGCCGAGGGCCCAGCCTGGGTCCTGGCTAATGTGGAGGTCACGGGCTCAGGGCGCCAGCGAGCCTGAGGAGTAAGTGGTCACGCCATGCAGAGGGGCCTCCGTCTGTCCTGCTGTGTACAGATGCCCTGGCGAATGTGGATTCCTCACCTGCCCTCCTTCACCTCTGCCCCAGCTAGTGTCCCCTCCTCCTGGTTCCCTTGGCATATCTGGTTCATATCAGAGAATGTAAGTCCATGTTAATATCAGCCCCAAATAACATTTAATTTCAATCAAATTGAGGTAACTAAGAATCACTGGTTGCTTGGGACTACCCAGGCCTGCGTCCCGGACGTTAGCATGGCACACTGAACTGTGTCAGAGAGATGGTGTCCCAAAGGTGTGGTGACAATGTATAGTTTGTAATTTTTAGATTAATATTTACTTCCTCAGAGCCTTATTCTTTTGGGATGACCTTGCTTTATGCCAGCTCTTGGGTTTGGGGGGGCAGCGTTGTTCCCGGAATGCTCATCATCATTCCGCGGGCAGCCCTCTGGCCTGTCTGCTGGGAGGGCCTGAGCTCCCCGGGGGCTCCCACTGCTCTGGACCGCAGGCCTGAGACAAGGAAGCTTTTTCTGACCTTCCCGTTTCCACCTCCCCACTTGGCCCACAGGGACTGCATGGCCCTCTGCTTCCTCAACAGCGGCACCAGCTTTGTGGCCGGGTTTGCCATCTTCTCCATCCTGGGCTTCATGTCCCAAGAGCAGGGGGTGCCCATCTCTGAGGTGGCCGAGTCAGGTGAGTGTTGGGAGGCCTGAGGCCGTGGATTCTGTGAGCTTTGAACCTTCGTCACCTGGGTTCCAGAGGCGTTGTGACTGTCGCCTTCACATAGGTGAGCTCTGGCCACCTTCCAAGGGGCATCTCCCAGGAAGACCTGAGGGAGAACTAAAATCAGCAATTCTGGCTTCAGAGGGATAGTGGACATAAAGGAGACCTTTTTCTTCCCACCCCAATGCTATGAGGCCACCGCTGCTATCAGGTTTATGTTTATCCCTACAGAAATAGCTTAGGTGTATATGAGAAAAGCACATCCTCATACACACACACACACACACACACACACACACACACTCATTCACACATAGGTACATATTGCTATGTATCTATAGCAATGGGTGCTACCTTTTACCCCCTTTTTAGAAATGAATTGATAACACACTATATATACTGTTCTTCACTTTGACTTGTTCACTTTAAAACCTATTGGCTCAGAGAGTTTCTTCCTTTTACAAGTGAATGCTTTTCCATGATGCAGTCTTTTTGTTGCTTCTTTTAATTAAAATGAAGGACTAGACTCATATCTGGGTAAGGTCTAAATGTTTCTTTTGCTCTTCCCCTATTCTTTTTTTTAAAAATATATTTTATTGATTTTTTACAGAGAGGAAGGGAGAGAGATAGAGAGCTAGAAACGTCGATGAGAAACATCGACCAGCTGCCTCTTGCACACCCCCTACCAGGGATGTGCCCGCAACCAACATACATGCCCCCCTGACCGGAATCGAACCTGGGACCTTTCAGTCCGCAGACCAATGCTCTACCGCTGAGCCAAACTGGTTTTGGCTCTTCCCCTATTCTTAAAGACCACCCACTTATACTCTGTAGCAAGACATTTTTTTTTTTTTAATCACAGCATTCACAATCATACCCTTGTCATACATAGTGCCAAGCACTGGGCAACTAACATCACTGATTCTTATAAAAAGTGATAATATTTTGCCCTGGCCACTGTGGCTCAGTTGGTTGGGCATCATTCCATGAACCGAAAGGTTCTTGGTTTGATTCCTGGTCAGAACCCATGCCGGCTCAATCCCCAGTAGGGGGCATGCAGGAGGCAGCTGATCCATGTTTTGCTCTCACATTGATCTTTCTCTCTCTCTCTCTAAAACAAAACAAAAAAAAAAAAAAAAAAAAAAACACCAGTAACAAATCTTTTTTAAAAAGTGATAATATTTCACTTTTATTAAGCATTTACTATATGCCAGGCAGGCACTGTGCAAAGCATTCTGCCTGTGTCATGTGGTGGGGAGCTGTGAGGCAGGTGCTGGTATTGTCCCTCTTCTCACCAATGTGGGGAGTGGGACTTTAAGAGTTAAAGGACTGTTGAAGGTCACAGGTTTACACCCTTTTGTTTTTAAAATGAAGCTTCTTCCTACAAATGAATTCAAGTGCTGGCATATGAGCCTGTTCCTGCTATTTAAGCCAGCTGAGAGGAACATTAATTTATTAGAGAGACTGAATATCAGTGGTATTCTGGAAATAATGCCAGCTCACTGCTTGTAGGGTGACAGAAAAGGCCCAGGGGAGAGGGGGCCAGCTGGTGGCCCCAGTGCAGTCTAGTCTTGGAGGAATTCTCTTTGGAACCATGTCCTCTAGAAAGAACACAGCAATTGCCTTAGTTGATGGGGAGCATGAGGGCTCCAGGTCTCATCAGACCCTCTGCTCCCTCATTTTACCCATACAGCCTACCTAGTCCTTGAGTTGTTGTTGATCTCCTTCTCCTTCTCCTTCTCCTTCTCCTTCTCCTTCTCCTTCTCCTTCTCCTTCTCCTTCTCCTTCTCCTTCTCCTTCTCCTTCTCCTTCTCCTTCTCCTTCTCCTTCTCCTTCTCCTTCTCCTTCTCCTTCTCCTTCTCCTTCTCCTTCTCCTTCTCCTTCTCCTTCTTCTTCTTCTTCTTCTTCTTCTTCTTCTTCTTCTTCTTTTAAAATATATTTTTATTGATTTTTTACAGAGAGGAAGGGAGAGAGATAGAGAGCTAGAAACATCGATGAGAGAGAAACACCAACCACTGCCTCTTGCACACCCCCTACCAGGGATGTGCCCGCAACCAACGCACATGCCCCTGACAGGAATCGAACCTGGGACCTGTCAGTCCGCAGACTGACACTCTACCACTGAGCCAAACCGGTTTCGGTGTCCCTGAGTTCTTCTTAAACTTCTGGTTTGGGGCAATAGATCTGAGAGTGAGGCTGGAAGATTTGGGATAGAACTTACAGAAATGTGGGTGATATACCCCTTTCTGTTTTTCAAGGCCTTTTAGACGCACAGCCTGTAGGCCCTATTCCTGCCAATGAGAATACAATGGGTGGTGCCTTGAAAATTTGGGGACCGGGTAGAGGTTTGGGTGGTTTCTTCTGGGTGAGGATGGTGATGGGGATAGCCACTTTGGGGCGAAGTTTCCTCTGGCTCCAGTTACTCCATGGGGCCACACTGCCGCTGGCCCAGGCATTGGGTTCTGTTCCTCTGCTCCCTGCTGCAGGCCCTGGCCTGGCTTTCATCGCCTACCCCCGGGCTGTGGTGATGCTGCCCTTCTCTCCTCTCTGGGCCTGCTGCTTCTTCTTCATGATCATCCTCCTGGGACTGGATAGTCAGGTACCAAGAGGCAGCTACTCAGAGGCTGAGAGAGGAATCGGTGTGGGTGGGCTGGGTGAGGGGGAGCAGAGGCATGAGTCTGAGCTTGATGCCACACTGGACCTTAAAACAGTTGGGGGCTTGGTGAATATCAGATGTGGATGCTCTTCCAGGGATCAAAAGGAGCTTGAGGGGTATGTCTAGACCTAACTGTGCAAGGATCACTCTGGAGTCCTGAGTCAGAAAGCTTGGCGGGGCTGAGCCAGAGCTAGCTGATGGAGCTTATTTGGGGAGCTCTCTTTCCCTCCAATTTTCTTTGCCCTGTCATCCAGTTTGTGTGCGTAGAGAGCCTGGTAACAGCGTTGGTGGACTTGTACCCCCGTGTATTACGCAAGAAGAACCGGAGGGAGGTCCTCATCCTTGGAGTGTCTGTCATCTCCTTCCTTGTTGGGCTGGTCATGGTCACAGAGGTGAGGCTCTGGGAGGCTGGAAGGTGGGGGGAGAGGGCGAAGAGGTGGAGCCACGGTGGACAGCTGCCCCCTGTTCGGGGGAGCAGGCTGCTGTGGTTTCAGGGCCCTGGGCCTCTCCTTTCCCAGCCACAGAAGCACCATGAAGGCAAGTCCCCTCTCTGGCCTTTGGGCATTGACCGTCTACTTACAGGGATGGGTGAGGGGTGAACTGGCTCCGTGTTAAAGAGTTTTTGGACAGGATAGTCTTGTAGGAGGAAACACTGCCTCTCCATCAGCTTTTCATAATTGCCCAGGAAGCTGCACCAAGTCCTGGGGATAAAGTTCAAAGGGAGACAGGTCGCCCTGGGAATGGGCGATATTCTGTGTGATGTCTCAGAGGAGAAGGAAGGCGATGGGGCTTGTCAGCTTGGTAATACCAATGACAGCTCCTGCCATGATCTGTGCAAAAAAAAAAAAAAAAAAAAAAAAAAAAAGTGCACATTATGTCTTGGACTTTTGGGTCAGTCCAAAATGTTCTCAGGGACAATCTAATAATAGCTGTCTTTTTCATCTATCATCCATCTAAAGACAATAATAAAAAATAATTATTGTTTCAAACCTGCCTAGCGCCTTGCAGCTTACAAACTACATTATCTTTCAGTATCTGTCTTCTGTGATCCCCATCAACGCTGTTCTGTGCCCTGTGGGTGTGCAGCTAGATGGAGATGGGGTAAGCCTGTCTGTTTCCTCTGAATAAAGTTCGGTTTTGTGTCTCCTCCCCGGCAGGGCGGAATGTATGTGTTTCAGCTCTTTGATAACTACGCAGCCAGTGGCATGTGCCTCCTGTTCGTGGCCATCTTTGAGTCCCTCTGTGTGGCTTGGGTTTATGGTGAGTGACTCTCCCTAACCCAATACTCACCTCTACCCCAGCCAAAGCCCTTAGACATAAGAGAGGTGCCCACGGCTCACACCCACCTTTTCTTAGGTCCTCCTCTACCCACCTTAAAAATCTGCCATTGGAAGGGCCCCCCAGAGGTTATCTTGTCTACCCTCCTGGTTACATCGGCACTGAAACCATTTCAGATGGGCCCACATTCTGTCCTATCCAAACCTTTTCAGCCTGTAACAGCCTTAACAATCAGAAAGTTATTGCCTCTGTATCCCAGGGAGGAGCTTTCTTCCAGCAGTGATCTGTAAAGATAACCACTGTGTATTGGTCCTTGCCCATCTTGGTCCTTTGGATGCTAAAGAATGTCCTTTCTCTCCCTTCCTTCCTTCTCTTCATTGTAGGAGCTGGACGCTTCTACGACAACATTGAAGATATGATCGGGTACAGGCCCTGGCCTCTTATCAAATACTGTTGGCTCTTCCTCACACCAGCTGTGTGCATAGTAAGATAACCTTCAGGGAGGGAAGCCAGATGAAGGGATAGAGACATGGTAGGAGGAGGCTAGGTTGCCTGTTAGTCCGAGATAGGGCTTCTCTCTGTGCATTGAAAGTCTTTTTAGGTTTTATTTCATCCTCCTGTTGGATTTTAGACAATGACAGCAGAAGAATAAACTGAGGTCCAGAGCTATCGGACTGTTTGACCAGCTACACGATCTGAATGTAATGTTGCAGGCAGGTCTGAAACCCTTGAGCCACTCATGATAATACTGAGGATCACAGCAATAACAATAGCAAAAGTTACAGAGCACTTACCTTGTGCTAGGCACAGAGTGCTTTATATATCTAATCTATTTAATCCTCACAAGGACCTCACAAAGTAAGAATTGCTATTATATTTATTTGACAAATAGAAGCCAAAGGGGTTTAGCAATGTCCCCAAGCTAGAAAATGGCCGAGGGCTAGGCTTCAAGCCCAGGCCCTGGCTTCCAGAGTCTGAGCCATGAACCATCTGCTTCCTCTGGTTTGTCCATCTGAGTCAGCCACTCCCCAGCATCCACCATATGCAGGATCTCAGTGAGGCCTACCCTCCATCCTTGAGGTATGCACAGGCTTAAACAATTGAAAGGGCCAGCAAGCACACTGTCATGTCTAAAATGGGAGCCAGCCATGTGTAGAGGTGTCCATGGGCTCAGGAGCCCTGGAGGGACAGGACAGGTGCCCTGGAAACACCCACGGAGGTATGCGGATTCTGAGCAGAGTGTGGATGGAGGTTGGGCCCCGATGAGCCTGGAGGAAAATCCAGGCTGGTGTGTTATCTCTGCCAGTTCCTCCAGGGGGTGCCCAGGGCACAGGGCCCCTGCTTTCCAGCCCCTTTCTCTTGTGATCTCACCTTCAGGCCACCTTCCTCTTCTCCTTGATCAAGTATACTCCGCTGACCTACAACAAGAAGTACACGTACCCCTGGTGGGGGGATGCCCTGGGCTGGCTCCTGGCTCTGTCCTCCATGGTCTGCATTCCTGCCTGGAGCTTCTACAAACTCAGCACCCTCAAGGGCTCCTTCAGAGAGGTAGGAAGTTGGTGGGAAGAAGGGCAGCCAGAGGGGGAGAAACCCTAGTGGATGATGGTAGATGGCTGCCTGCCAGGGTAGATGCTGGTGCTCTGGGGGCGGTGAGCCTGGTGTGGAGACCAGGGAGGGAGGGGGTGAGGGCTTAAACGTCTCAGAAAGAGACCAGATGCCTCCAAGACACCGCTGTGATTGTAGGGTGGCGCCTGGAGGCATGATTGTGTATGGGGAGCAGGCAGGCGTTGGTGATGAGGGCACCTGGAGACCTGCTCCCCCTCCCCACTCCACCCCAAGGCAGCCACCTCCACTCTCCTTCCAGAGAATTCACCAGCTCGTGTGCCCAGCTGAGGAACTGACCCAGCGGAACCAAGCAGGACCCTCTGCCCCTGCCACACCCAGGACATCACTTCTCAGACTCACAGAACTAGAGTCTCACTGCTAGGGGGCAGGCCCTTGGACATGCCTGTGGGCCTGGCCGTGGGGACAGCTGCAGGAGGGGAGGGCAGGAGCAGTCCCTCTGTGCTTCTGTCTCCCCTTGTCTTATCTATCTTTCGGAAGGAGCATTTGGAATCCACCTTCTGAGCTGAGTGCTTCTTACTGCAACGTCCCTGCTCCAGGGGTGGCTAAGCAGGCGTGAGATGCCAGTATCCACAGCATGCCCTTTGAGGTGGGCTAGGGAAGCTGGGTGAGGACTGGTGGGTGGGTTGAGAAGTCTGTTTGGCTTCTGGGCCCTCTGACCCTTTATTCCATTAAATCCAAGTTCTTCCCACTGACTACTAGAAGTTCTGCCTCATTTCCTGCCCCTTGGCCTTGCAACCTTGACCCCTTTATCACTTCAAAGTTGTGGCTTTAGGAGGCCCCTGTCTCCTTCCCTCACTGAGTCCTTGTGGACCGTGAGCAGAGGGGATTGCTGTGGGGAGAAGGATGATGGGGCTGACTGAGGTCCTCCATCACCAGACACTCGGACCAGAGGGAGTGATATCTTTCACACCTCTATCTGTGCTTCTACTAGAGCCCTTTCCTCCTCCTCCCCTCTGTGGAATGGAGAGAAGAGTGAAGGAGAAGACCTCCCTAGCGACAGGAAGGAAGTGGAAAAAGTGGTTGGGCTTCTTCTGCCCACGTTTCCCTTGCCTGATCCCGCCTGCCAAACCTGTGTCTCTGTGCCTGCCCGGGGCTTGGTGTCAGCGGCGTAAGAGGGCCAGCAGTGGAACTACCCTAGCTCAGCCAGCAGAGGGACCCCACTTCCTCAGGACTCCTGGCTCTTCCGCTGAAAAGAGGATAGCTACCACTGCAGCACCACCAGGCATGGCCACGAGGGGGTGGCCTGCGCTGCGAGATGAACTCTCGGGGTTAGGAAGCAAAGAAGACCCAGGTGGAAGGCCAAGTGAGCATGGCCTTGGCCCCAGAGAATCCCACAGCCTCACCTCTGAGCTGTGTTTGAATCATGTATCTGTGTGTGTGTGTGTGTGTGTGTGTGTGTGTGTGTGGCTGAACATACACAACTGCATTTCTCCCTAAACATGTGGAGGCTTTGGTGGTTCTTCTTTTTTTCTTTATTGATTAAGGTATTCCATATGTGACCTTATCCCCCCACCCCCCACTCATGCCCTCACCCCACTGGTGTCTGTGTAAAATTGGTTAGGCTTACATGCATGCATATAAGTCCCTTGGGTGAACCTCCCCCCATTCCCCACCCTCCCCTCCCTCTGAATTGATGGTTCTTCCTCCCAAGCTGTTCCAGGGGAGCATTCAGCGATTCTGGGCTGCAGGTGAGGGGTGCACGCATTCCCTGGGTGGTTTACTTAGTTGTTGTTTTACAAGTTAGCTAGTGAGGAAAGCACTGGAATCTTTTCCAGCCTTTAGGGTTTGACTTTCTGTTATTGTTGGGAGAGTTTATAAGAATTAGTGAAGCAGCCCTGCTGTCTGTTGGTCTTGGCTGCTCCCTCTGGACACGACTTGGCGGGCCTCCCCCACATGTGCCCGGCTCAGTCACTGTCCTATGGTAGGAGAAATAAATCTGCTAGAGAAACATGCTGAAACTCAAGACACCACACACCTGGCATCTCCATCCATCTGACAATATTCCCAGAATACCTACTGTGTGGCTTTGCTATGCTCATGACACACGAGGAGCAAAAACAGACTGTCTAAGTGACAGATTGTGACAAATGCAATGAAAGAACAGAGCAAAGTGCTATGAGAAAGAATAACTGGGGTGTGGAAGGAATCTGATGACTTGGGGTAGCTGGTCTGGGAAGGCTATTCTGAGGGTGTAATATCTGTCTCTCTCCATCCATTTGATCAAAGTGGCAAGAATCTGCTAGGCCTGGGAAGGGATACAGGCAGTTCAGTAATGGTGATTTGGATCCCATTTAGGGGAGACAATGGTGGATATAGTGTGAAAAGAATACATTGGTATAAGAATTAAGAGATGCAGACGCTAGTCCTGACCTGCTTGTCTTGCTGTGTGACTTTGTGGAAGTTGCTTGGAATTCGGGTCTTTGGTGTGTGTGTGTGTGTGTGTGTGTGTGTGTGTGTGTGTGTGTGTTTTCAGGTGGAGATAACATCATGCACCCCACCCACCCATAGGTTAGTTGTAGGGCTCAAATGAGGCAGTGGGTGTGCGAGCCCTGAGGTCATTAAATCAGTTGGAGGGTGGATGAGAAGGATCTGCTCCAACAACCAATGGGATTGGCAGGCAGAGATGTGCAAGAAAAGCCACTTGCCTGGGCCAGCATGGGGAAAGGGAGCAGGAATGCACAGGCGTGGTTTTAGCTCAGGGAGCTGTGGACAGGGTGAGCTCAGTCCACTTGCTCTCTCTGCCTGGCAGGGCAAATACCAGATCCTCTGTTCTCTGTGGAAGAAGATATAAAAGGCGGGGAGCCCTCTCTTGTTTAGAGACCACACCTGTTAGAGAAGAAAGTCAAAGGAAGAAAGGCAGGCAGAGAGAGCCCTGTGGCAACTGAGAGCTGACTCCAGCCCCACCATATTGGGTTGTCAATGAAATAGAAAAACCCAGGAGTTCAGAGACATCCTTGCTGTCCTCTGGCTACCTGGCCTCAGGCATCTGGTTGCAATGGGCACAGAAAGAAGGCTACACATTTATTGAGCTTAGCATTTTTGCTAGGAGGCAAGGGAGAGGTAGCCCTAAAATAACCCTGCCTCCTGTGGGCCTAGTGCCCTGCCAGCACCAGGAATGTTGTCCAAGAAAATCAGGACTGAGTCCTCTAAGCCCCAGTCTGTCCCCTGGTTCTGGGAGACAAATGCCCTCCCAGAGAGAGAAGACTAAGATCATCCCTCCCTCAAGCTGCACCAGCCATCCACCCAATAAACATGGAATGTCTACTCTGCCAGCACTGTAATAAATGCTAGAGGCAAAAAACACAGAGTTATGAAATGTGACACCTGCTCTTTAAATATTCAGTGTCTGGGAAACAGTATGCTGCAGTACAAGCATAGCTTTTTGGAGCCAGGAGTTCCAGGTTCAAATCTTAGCTCCATCATTTAGTTGTTTATGGCCTTAGGACAAATCACTTACCTTTTGTGCACCCCAAAGTGCTTATCTGTAAAATGGGGCTAATGTCTACATTTCAAGGTTCTTGTGTGGATAAAATGGAGCAATATGTAAAGAACCTAGCCTGAGTAAGATGCTCAGGAAATAGGTCCCATGCCAGGCCCACTAAAAGCAGGCATGAGGGTAAAAGAAGAGAAGATTCTATGGGGTTCACAGTTCTCACTGCAGCAAGATAACTGATTTATTTAACCATATTCCGACTTATCTCTGTACCCTTCCCAGTATGGAAACTGCCAGCCTCAGGTGGGCTTTCCAGGTAGTTTAGGGATCCTGCCTTTTGCACAGGTGGGGGTCTCTGGCCTGCAGGTTTGCCAGTTGCTCTGAATGCCCAGTGGAGGCTGAAAGTGGGGGAGGGGGTTTGGGGTGGGCTTGAGTATGTGAGGTTTCAAGTTAAAAGGAGGCCAGGTCAAACAAGGCAGCTGTTCTACAAGGTGAAGGAGAGGTGACAAGACTTCTGAACCATGCATAGCTCCAGGTACTAGCGGAAAGTGTGACTTGTAGGCATAAAATGAATGAATGAATGAATGAATGAATGAATGGCTAGGATACTCGCCCTCTGCCTCATTTGATTCTATTTGCTCTCTCTCCCCTTCACGGAGAGGCCGGTGGGTATTTTATTTTGGAATAGCTGCATGGACTTTGGTGTCCTTCTTCAGTAAGCTCCGTGGCTGACACTGGTGGCCAGCATGCTGACCAGAGCAGATGCAGCAATGCAGGCCACAGCACCCCAGGTGAGCACAGGGTGACTGGAGTGTGAGTTCCGGCTGCTCCGCTCACATCCTGCTCTGCTGGGCATGACCCCAGCCTGTCTCCTTCTTTCACAGAGGCAAAGGTCTGAGAATTTAGATTCACTCTGGCTTCCCCTTGAAGCACTTACACAGGAGGTGCTGAGGAGGTGCTGAGATACAGGGAGGGGGATGCTTTATGGAAAATTACAAACAGAGATTCTCACTTCAATCTCAGCCCTGCTGGGAAGTTCTAAAATACAGAGGGGAAGCCCCTGCAAAGGGAAATTTCCCTTTCTCCCCACAACTTCCCCTCCTCCTTATCATCTAGAGCTGAAGAAGCACCTTCATTGCCTTGAAAGAAGCACCAGCTGTTCTAAATTAATCTGAACGATGGGCCTATGTCAGTCCTCCAACACCCTGAGGGTGTGCTAGGAACAGGGACATGACCCTGTTCTGGGTAAGTCCACCAGACACACAGCATGGGACATACACATTAATCAGTACGTTTCACCTCTGAAAGCTGCAGGCAACCAGACAAGGTACAACTGTGTGCCTGAGGGCTGCCTGGACCACACACTCTGCCACCCCAGCCCCAGCTTTCAGAGGACCCACAGCAAACCTCTACAACTCCCTGTAAGCACCTATGTTATCCTAAGCAGTTTACCCTATTGCTCCAGCCCTCACAGCAACTCTACAAAGTGGGCATTGTGATGTACCGGCACCTTCTACAGATCCATACACGGAGGCTCCCATGACGGAAAAGGACAAGAGGAGGAGTTCAAACTCAGGTGTGATTGCAAACCTGTGTCCTCTGAGTTCCTTGAGGTGTGCTCTGGGCACTTTCTCTGGGAAAATCCCAAGGAAAAGCGTAGTAGTTGTACAAGTCCGGAGCCTGCCTCGAAACCACAGAGGGCAAGTACTTGGTGGAAAAGTCCAGCATGTGATTCACCCTCCTCCCGCACTCTGTCACCGAGGCCAACTCCCCTCTGAGGCTCTCGGTTTCCAGCCTGGGAGTTGGTGCTCCATCCTCTGCTCCGGGTGAGAGGGGGCTGGCCTCTGCTTGTATGTCCCCATCGCCTCATCCCTAGGAAGAAGCTGGTACCAGGAGCGGGCAAGGTGAGGAGGGGGAAGAGGGAAAGAAGGAACCAAAGGAGGAGAGCTGAGGTCAGATCTGGTCTCTGAGCCCCACGTGGAGGGGTCTCTTGGGGCAGCATGCCGGGAGGGCGGGAGGGGCTGCGGAGGGGTGAGTGGGGGTAGGGGACTGGGGACAGAGGACTTGACTTACTGAGATTAGATGTTGTAATCCTGGCTCACAAACTTTTGACCTCAATCCCTCCTGTTGCTCGTGGTATTTCTCTGATCCTTCGCTTCCCAATAACACACACACACACACACACACACACACACACACACACACACACACACACCAGTCACTTTCTGTCTGGGAGCCCAGGACATAGCTCACATGGGATTCTAAGCTGGGAGGATAGGAGCAGGAGCGAAGGTGGAGGACAATTTCCCTTTCAGGTCCTGTCTCTCTGGGTATTCCCGTAGTGGCTTCCCTGGGCTCTCCTGGGGACCTGAGGCATGGAGCTGAGCTGACCACAGGAGCCGGGATCGGGGCTGAGGTGAGCAGGAGGTGGGGGCTGGATCTGTCTTCGCTGTCTCCCGGGAGGGTCCTCAGAGGGGCTGCGGCATGAGAGCTGAGAGGCAGACTGTGTGTGTCTGTGGTGCAATGCACTGGGCCAGAGCAAAGTCTGCTGCTCAGGATCCCAGGACAAGGGGTGTCCCAGCTCCCCCTCACCACCCACGGCATCTGAGTTGCTCCAGAATAAGCCTCGGGAGCAGAGAAGTCCATAGGTGGGGGACGGCCACAGGGAGCGAGTGAAGGAGGGGGCAATCACCTGACTAAGAGCCGGAGGGAAGCAGACAGTGCCCAGCAATGTGGGAGGAGAAGCAGACAGGAGAAACCTCGGCCATTCCTGAAGGCCCGTGGTCTGCAATTAGCAATCACTAGCAGAGTAGGAGGAGGAAGCTGCCTGGCTCAGGGAAGGCACAGGCATGCTGGTGCCTGACGGGGACTGTGGGGGGCTGATGGAAGGTGCAGGCGGCCACCAGCCAAGCCAAGCAGCCCCCAGGGTATGAAGGACTAGACGGGAGCCAGGTTTTGGTGCCATGCACACAGGTATGTGTGTGCAAAGGGACGTGACGGGAATGGCACCAGTGTGTGTACGGAAACGACAACTGGTATGTGGGTGTGGGCTGAAGCAGGAGCTGGGGTGTCCCATGCTGGCCTGGGATGTGACAGGGCTGAGCTGGGGTCCCAGCAGGATGTGGGGAATAGCGTTGTTACACTTGTCTGCTCCTCTGCTAGACCCTGGCCAGGCTTCCGCCCACATGCCTGCCTCCTACAAACAGTTAATTTTGGACTTGCTGTCTTTTGAACATTTCCTCGATGAGCAGCACTCAGCCCAGTGTGGCCGTGGGTTCTTTGCTGCTGGAGGGCACTGAGGTATGGTGAGGTCCATGGCCTGCCCCCACACCCTGCCCCAGCTTGGCAGAGCAGGTGGGCAGCCTGGGGAGACGATGCTGGGGGTTGGAGAGGTGGCAGGGCTGGGGTGGACGTGGGGAGGGGGAGATCTCCTGACTGTGGATGACACTGTTGTTTATCCTTAGCAAATGGGCTTTGGTGGAAGGGCACAGCGGGGGTGGGTGAGGGTAGCAGAAGGGCCAGGTGTACTGTCCTTCTGGCTTTTAAAAGTAACCCAGAAAGGAGAGCTCTGTACAGCTGGTTTTGATGCCTAACCTCTTCCTGGACATTTTTCCCTGAGTCTAACCTGAAGCCCGGTTGCTCAAATCAAGACTGTTCCCCGCTGACTTACCATGGCTCTGGGCCAGCTTTCCTTTCACATGCCCTCGCTTTCCTTCTGCCATTCCGGTGTTTCATTCTTACCCGTAAGCTATGGTCCTCCCAATAACATTTTTTTTTTTAACTAAAAAAAAGTCACATTATTATCAGTTCACGAGCTTGTGTTCTCTCTCCATCCCATCTGCGATACAACCCAAATCCTGTGGCCAAACTGGGTTCTGAGATTTGCTTCCTGATCCCGCACTCTCCTCTGGTTCCCTCATTCACTCCTTCCCCACCTCTGACTGCTGAGGACAGCTTAGCCCTGAAATAGCTGCTTCTGGTCTGGGAGCAGCAAGGCCTGCCTCCGGCATCCTTTGGCAACTTCTGTGCTTGAGCTCACTCTGAGCTGAGCTCCCTTATGACTTGCGAGCAAAGGCAAACATCTCTCCTTGTCTTGTAAGGATCTTCTTTTTATCCTCTGTCCTCCCAGCACCCCTACTGAGCAGAGGTTACTCTCCCTTCCAGGAGGCATAAAGCACAGAGAGGAGGTGTGATTTGCCTAAGGTCACACAGCAAGTTAGAGACTCAGCTCCACCACTTCCTGCTTTGGTAAGTTTGTGCCAACCATTCAAAAAAAGCTTTTACTGAGCACCTGCTGTGCTCAGTTCTTGCTCTTAATTTTTCTGAGCATTTCCTCATCTATAAAATAAAGTTAATAGTAATACCTACGTCAGAGATTTTTATGAAGATGAAGTCTAATAATGTATATAAAGATGTATATTTTTAGGACAGAACTTATTCAAATATTAACTGATTACTATTATAAGCTAGGTTTGAACTAGAACTTTGGTTTCTATCTGGTGCTTTTTTTTCTTCAATGTTTTTTAGTCCATCCATCCATCCATCCATCCACCCATCCATTTGTTTGATAATGATTCAAGGGCCAATCCTCAGGGTGCCCCAGCCTAAATTCTGTAGCAGCACCCACAGGTATCATCAACTTTCCCCCTGGGGCAAGACTACCCTGCTCTTTCAACCTGAGGCTCTGCTTCTCAACCTCCCCCCCCACCCCCCCAGGCCTGCTGCTTACTTTGAACCCGGAGCTTGCTCCATTCCCTTCTCCCACTCACCCTCCCTTATATCAGAGGCTGAGGCCTCCGGTTTCCACTGTGTGCCTCTCTCCTTGTCTCCCTGCCTGGACTGAGCTTGCAATAGCAGCCTCTGAGTAGGTGCCAATACCGGAATTTCACCCTGACATGCTTTCCCATTCCTGGGATAACCTGCATCCTTCAAGTCACCTTCAAAAATTTCCACAACCTCAAATGGCTCCTGCCACACCTTCCTAACCAACTTGGACTTGGGCTGTTGCCTGGGTTAAAAGGACCAACAAATAAACACAGACTCTTCTTTTAATAAAAAGGACCCTGTGTCTCCGCAGAGCTGTGGAGGAGCATGGGGCACTTGGTGGCTCTGAGTGACTTGATGCCCCAACGCCCTTCCTTCATAGGGGAGCAGCGGGGGATGGGTGCTGCCCTCTGCACTCTTGGCACCTCCTCCTGGCAGCCCGAGGGAAACAGAGCCAAGAGGTAGCCTCAGGGAGATGGTGGGGTGGGGGAGAGAGAAGTGGAGGCAAATTGTGATTTTTAAGTACAACACCAGGCTGCAGCCGTCTGTGTTGTGGCCATTGAGAAACAGACAACAAGAGGGCAGAGTAAAACTGAGCGGCCCACGTGATTTTCCTGAAAGTGCAGGGAGCTTTGGGCTTGTTAGCAGAGCAAAGAGTAGGGAAGGGCAGCGACCTGCTATGATATGCAGCTACTTCTGACCCCTTCCTTTCGGGGTCACTCTGATCTGGAGAAGACCACCTTCCAAGTGAGAATCGCTCTGGTGACCCCTTCTATCACCAGGATCCCGCCCTGTTCTCAGGACAGAGGTACAACCGAGAGAAAAAGAACGGGTTCCCTTGAAGACCTACTCTTGGTCCTGGCACCCATCCGAGTCCTCATCTGGCCTTGCTCAGAGGCCCCACCTTCCCCTTTCCTCCCAATCAGATGCCTCGAGCTAGCGGGCTCCCATGTTTACCCTGAGTTGGTCGATCACTCTGGCACAGGGATGAGCACACAGCTGCCCAGCAGAAAACCGTGCAGTCACCTAGGCCGCATCTGCCCTTTGACCTGCTGTCATCCCTGGCAGCCTTGATCCCTTCTGGCCTGAAGGCTGAGGAGCTGGGGCACACAGGTGGCTGGCTGTGAAGATCCAAAGGGACCTGGAAGAAAAGGCCGGAAGCCTGGGCATAAATGTAGTTCTAAATGGTTTAGGCAAGTCACCTCACCTGTCAAGGCCTGGGTGTTCCCATCTGCCAAACGGGCAAGCTAAGATCTGCTCCCTATTTGTTTTCAGAGTCATGAGAGCAAAGTGTAACTTTAGGTGTAAATGTCATTGAGGGCTTCAGAAGAAAATCAATATTAGAGCGGCATTCCAACAACATTGAAGCAACATTCCAGCAACAATGAAAGACTAGGATGGAGAGAGCAGGGATGGCAGGCATGTGTTGGCGTTGTATAGCTCATTCCTTCTCCTCCCACCAGGCTGTGCCTGTCTCACCACCCAGCCCCACTCCCAGCTCGGCAGCCTCTGGATCCATTACGGGGCCATGGACGGGAAAGCGACAGTCCACCAGGACGTGCCTCCTGTGCTCACCTGGGTCCCCGAGGAGGGAGAGAAGCTGGACCAGGAAGGCGAGGGCCAGGTGAAGGATCGGGGCCAATGGACCAACAAGATGGAGTTTGTGCTGTCAGTGGCCGGGGAGATCATTGGGCTGGGCAATGTCTGGAGGTTTCCTTATCTCTGCTACAAAAACGGAGGTGGTGAGTTCATTTTGAGGTAGGCGCGGTGGGGAGAGCTGTGCCCTGATCACCAGGCAGTGCCCACCTGGTGCCTCCTGCCTGGGCACTGTGGTAAAACAGAAGGAGGCTGGGATGGAGCTGGAGGACCTGGGTTCGAGTTCTAGCTCCACCACTGGCCTCAGGGTCCCCCTCTGTGAAATGGCGATGATACCCCACAGGGCCACAGCAAATTTTAAATGAGCAACTGCAGGACCTAGGAGTCTGAGTTTTTAATAAGCTCCTTCATTACTCTGTATGCATGCCAGTGCTGACAGGAGCCATTCATTTATTCAACTCACATTATTGTGGGCATAGCATGTGCCAGACACTGCTCTAGAAGCAAGACAGAACATATGCCACATGTTGTCTTCTAGTGAAGGGCGGCAGATTACAAATAGGTAAAATATGTGGTATGTCAAATGATGCTGCGTGAAATGGTGAGAAGCAAAGCCGGGAAGAGGATAGAGAGTGCTGGGCCACAGGGTGGGGGAGTGGGGTGTGAAGTATAAACTAAGATACCAGAAATGTTTCACTGAGGAGGGGGCATAGACTAAAGAGTCGAGGGAGGTGAGGGAGCGACTCTCGTGGGTGGAAATCAGGTGCAGAACACTCCGAACCGGGAGCAGTGGCTCTGTTCCGAGTGAGGTGGGAACCACTGAGGAGTTTCATTCAGTGGGAAGACATTATCTTGTCTATGAATTTTTTTAAAATGAAAGAAAATTTTATTATTTTCAGCACTGGTAGTACAAATGAGCAGGGGCATGGAGGGGAGGGGCCAGAATACTCTTTTTAAGTGCACAATTAAATGGTTTTTAGTATATTCACTCACCTGTGCAACCGTCACCACCACTAATTTTGGGACATTTTTATTGTCCCCAAAAGAAGTGCCGTACCTATTCCCTCTCCTTATTCCCTCTCTTGCCAGCCCTTGCCAACCTCTAATCTACTTTCTGTGCCTATGGATTTACCTGTTTGGAATGTTTCATATTTCTATGAATTTATTTGTGACTGGCCAGAACCATGCTTGCCTTTTGAAATACCTGTACTCTGGTGGAAATAATATATGTTTATAGTGGACATTAAAAATATTCTGGAAGGTAAAAAACAAACAACCAACCAACCAAACAAGAAACATTCTCATTTAAAGGTAACCATTATTTAGAAAATCCTTTGAAACACTATCTATATTTAATTCCACACGTTTTTACTGAGTATCCACCACGTGCTTGCTCAGTTATTATTACAAACTACTTGAACCAATGACTCCGAAGAAATAGAAATAGGATTTCCTGGGCAGGTCAGGACTACGAAGCCAAAACTGGGAGTGGGGGACTCATGCTGGACCAGAGATGAGAGGAGGTAGGAAGAAGAGGTAGGGGCAGTAACCTACTTCTCATTTTCCCCCATGTTATTGTTTTTTAATAGTGTGCCCCTTTTTATTATTTTTTTAAAATTTCATTTTATTGTTTAAAGTAATACAAATAGTAGTATATATATCTCCTCCCCCCCCCATTGACCTCCCCCCCCATCCCCCGACACATGCCCTCATATCCCCCCCCCCCTCCAGTGTCTGTGTCCATTGGTTATGCTTGTATGCATGCATACAAGTTCTTTGGTTGATCAGTGACCTACTTCTTTATCCCAGGCCACAGTTTCATGAACACATAGGATGTTAGAGCTGGAGCTAAAGATGATCTAGGCAGAGCCCTCAATTCACAGAGGACACCCCAAACCACCGACTTGGATGGCAGCAGTAGGTCCCGGAAGCCATGTTTGCTGGCTCCCACATCGCTGCATGCCTCGCACCTTGCCATCTGAAAAGAAGGGAGATGCCGGCCCAGGTTCCATTGCCTACCCTGCCTCTGTCCTGCCTGGTGGCTGCAGCTGTGGCCGTGACCTCTGTACTGACCATGGGGCAGGGTGAGAGACAAGCACCTATGACAGCGTGGAGGGACAGGCTGAGCCAGGTCACCTGGGGAATGGCAAAACCAGATCACATTTACTGTGCAGGTTCTGTTTTCCTTCCTGTCACCTATGTTCTCACTTATTTCTGTCCCAACCCAACTACGTGGGAAAGACATGCTGCCTCGATCATGTCCCCTTTAATGCCAGGGCTAAGGGAGGTCGGGGTCTCCCTCTGAGGTCACTGGTCTTTGAGGCTTTAGGAAGGTAGTGGTGAAGCTCCAGGGAGTAATTTCCTTATCTAGATGACTTATCATAGACCTATGTGGGAACTCCACAGGCTGACCTAAATGTCAATTTTTTGCTCAGTGTGGTAATATGGTTTATCACAAGCTGACCATAGCTCTGGGTGGCAGTTAAATATAGTTTTTACTAATATATTAATTACAAATAATTAATAATTATTAGTTAAAATGGTTATTGATGGATTATTAATTAATAATTAACTCATGATTAATCATTAGCTAATACATAGTTCTGCAGAGAAAAATCTTTCAAAAGGAATGAAAGAGTAATCTTATATAATAAAAGACTAATATGCAAATCAATTGAATGTCAGAACAACCGGTCACTATGATGTGCACTGACCACTAGGGGGCAGATGCTCAATGCAGGAGCCTCCCCCCCCCAGTGGTCAGTGCCCTCCCACAAGGGAAGTGCCGCTCAGCCAGAAGCTGGGCTTATGGCTGGCAAGCTCAGTGGTGGTGGTGGGAGCAGTAGGACATCCCCCGAGGACTTCCAGACTACAAGAGGGTGTAGGTTGGGCTGAGGGAAACCCTCCCCTCTGAGTGCACACATTTTGTGCACCAGGCCTCTAGTATATATATAAATTCGGATGGTGTGGCTTAGCACTTGAACATCAACCTATGAACCAGAAGGTCACAGTTGGATTCCCAGTCAGGACAGGTGCTCAGATTTCAGGCTTGATCCCCAGTAGGTAGTATGCAGGAGGCAGCTGATCAATGATTCTCTCTCATCATTGATGTTTATAGCTCTCTCTCCCTCTCCATTTCTCTCTTAAATCAATAGAAAATTATTTTTTTTAAAGGAAGGATATTCTAACACATGCTATAACATGGCTAAAACTTGAAGACTTTATGCTAAGTGAACTAAGCCAGTCACAAAAGGATCAGTACAGTATAATTCATTTTTCATGAGGTGCCTAGAAAAGGCAAATTTAGAGAGAAGAAGAATGGTGTTTACTAGGGGCTGGGGAGAGAGGAGAATGGGTACAGAGTTTCAGCTTGTGATGGTTGAAAAAGTTCTGGAGATGGATAGTGGTGATGGTTGTACAACAGTGTGAATGTACTTACTTAATGCCACTGAAGTGCATACTTAAAAATGGCTAAAATGGTAAAATTTATGTTATATACATTTTATCAAAAAAAAAAAAAGCAGAAAATAAAAACCCCAAGCTGTGCAAACTCTCTGACCCACCAATTCCTCTGTTGAAATTGATATTAAGGAGCAGATTAGACAAGTGCACAGGATGTGGATGACGGTCTGCATCAGAGAAGTTTTCTTAGGAAGCAACAGAAAAGGCCAAAGGACATGCTGATAAAATAAACTAGGACAGATGCCCAAGATGGAATACTATAAAGCCAGTAAAATGATGACATAGAGATGTATTTACTGATACACAAAGGAATTTATGATATACATTTTAAAATGATTATGAAATAATATATAATAGGGTTTCATTTTTTCCCAAAAAAGAAATATATATGTCTGTATGTTTATAAGAAATTGGAAGATATATAATGCTTTTTCCTTTCTTTTTTTTTGTACTTTCTATTTTTCTACAAAGTAATATGGATTACTTGAGAGACATTATATAATGTAGTAGTCAAAACATATTATGATAACACAAATAAATATATTGATTTCAGAGAGGAAAGAAAAGGAAGATAAAAACATATATCTTTATACATAAAAGGATAAGTGACTGGCTGACCAGCCGACTGTCTGATAGGTATGACGTGCACTGACCACCAGGGGGCAGACACTCAATGCAGGAGCTGCTGAGTGACAGCAACTTTGCAGAGTGTTTCCTCGCACTCTGGGACCCTTCAAGGAATGTCAGACTGTCAGTTTTGGCCCGATCCCTGCAGGCCAGGCTGAGGGTCTCCACCTGCCGGAGGGACCCTGCTCACTCCACAGATGCCCCAAGTGTGGCTGGCCAGGGAGGGACTGCAGGACCTTGGCTCCAGGGCATGAATGGCCTGTCTTGCCCAGGCCCATCCCACTAATTAATTTCTTTTCAATGTGCATGAATCCTTGCACTGGGCCACTAGTATCCTATATAATAAAATCCTACTATGCAAGTCAACTGAATGGCAGAACAACTGGTTGCTATGATGCACACTGACCACCAGGGAGCAGACGCTCAATGAAGGAGCTTCCCCCCTGGTGGTCAGTGCACTCCCATGTAGGCACAGCAGGGCAGATTTGAGGGGAATTGAGCCCTGTGGGGATCAAGCTGAAACTGGTAGTTAAACATCCCCCAAGGGGTTCGGGATTGCAACAGGGTGCAGGCAAGGCTGAGGGAACCCACGGGTACTAGAATTGTGCATGGGGCCTCTAGTCAATGATAAGGGAATCATTGATCGCTGCCCCCTGCACATCCCCTAATAGGGATTGAACCCATAATCTAGGCATGTGCCCTTGACCAGAATCAAACATCAGTATCACAATCAGTCAGCATGCCAACGCTCTATCCGCTGAGCCAAACCGACTCGGGCTATGATGTAGTAGTTAAGAGCACAGACTAAGACCACTTGTGTTTGTGCTTCACTTTTCTCATCTGTGTCTCAGTTTTTGAATCTTTAAAGTGGCCCCAGTTTTTCATCAGTAGAATGGACACAATGGTAGGTTGTTGTGTGAGGATTTTGATGTTGGTGAAGCATTTAGAAGAGTGCCTTACATACAGTAAACACCAAATAAGTGCTAAGTGTTATTATTGTGCAATAAACAATAATCCATTGGCCCATGAGTATAGTTCTGAGGTAAGGTATGTCTTTGTGACTGAAGTGGGTACTGTGGGCTTAGAAATTCACTCATATGTGATTTGCTGGATGTCTGTTAGGTCCCGCCTCCTGTCAGGGCCTGTAGTCAGTGCCTGATCACCTGGCTGGCTGACACCCCGTTCCTGCGAGTGGGGCTGAGCAGAGGAATGGCTTTCTCTGCTGAAAGCCCAGTCCAAATCAGAGCCTGGTGGAGGAAAAAAAATCCCTCTGAAATTATTGGAAGGAGAATAATTTTTCCAAGGTGTTTTTGTTTATTTGTTTTTCTCTAAAATGTAACAAATGTGATAATTCAATAAGCATATCAAATTATACAGAACACATGTTTTTGTTCCAAAAATAATAAATTGACTAGATTTGTGAAGCACACTGAGCAAATAAATAGCGCATACATTAGGATCTCCACCGAAATTTCCCTTCCAAGATCTTTCCTGTCCTGAGTAAGGTTCAGACTGGAAAATTTTCTGCCTGTCCTTGGGCACAGATAGGAGGAAGCCGACTTGTGCCCTTGGGAGGGGTGAGGAGGGAGATGAAGGCCTAGGCTAAAGTCTTAGCCCATACCTCCCCTTCCTCTGCAGGAGCCTTCTTCATCCCCTATTTCATCTTCTTCTTCACTTGTGGTATCCCGCTGTTCTTCTTGGAGGTGGCATTGGGCCAGTACACCAGCCAAGGGAGCGTCACAGCCTGGAGGAAGATCTGTCCCCTTCTCCAAGGTAAGTGTTCTCCCGGGCCCACCTCCCCACAGGCCACCAGCCTGCCTCCATCCCACTGTTGACTCTCCGTTCCTATCTGCTCACTACCCTGTCTTTCAACCACTGTCATGCTGTGCTAAGTGCTGTGGGGGACTTAGGAAATACGAGCAGGCTTATGCATCCTGAGGAGGAAGGCAGTCCTCAAGAAAGCCAATATAAGGTCACACATGAAAAGCCAGGAGCAGAGCCTTGCCAATGGGGCCCCTGAAGCTTCATCTTAACCAGCTTCATGGAAAACGTGTTCCTGTGTGCTAGTATATGGTGTGGTCCCAGACCTCCAAAGTATATAATAATAGTGATGTGATGATGATGTCTAACACCCACTGAGCCCTACTGTGTGTCAGGGTTCATGTCATCACTTTCCCTGCAGTTCCTCACCTAATCTCCCAATGGTAACCCCAGTCACCTCATTTTGTAGATGTGAAAAATGAGGTCCTTTGCCAAGGATTTGAAAAATGAGGTCCCGGATCTACCTGAGCTGAAGGGTCATGCTCTTTCCTATGTTAGGGATTATGTTAGGGACAACCCCTGCCCTCTTCTCTCTGCATCTGTTGGCTCTAATGTGAGCAGCTTGGGGTGTCCTTCCACCCCCCACTCCTCTTCAGTGGATTGGGCCAGTCCCCTTCGGGCCAGTGGGAGAGAAACCCAAGGGATCTCCTCCTTCGTGAGAGGGCCCTTGAATATGTGAATTAGAGAGAGGACTCTCCCTCATGTCAGCCCCCGAGGGAGCTCCAGGGCCTAGGCTGCCTAGGGCTGCTGCCCAGCTTGGTAGGCTGGGCAGAAGTGGGCATAGCGAGGGACACTAGCTCCTGGGCAGGCTGGGAACCTGACCACTGACTGGGGGAGGGGAGGCAGGCTGGCCTGACCGATTCCTCTTGGGCCTCATGGGGCCTGTGGGGACAGGGTGGAGCTTGGCCCACTCAGGTTTCTACTCCAGAGTTCTGAGGCTCCGGGAGTGCTGTGCCTTCTGGCTGAGCACACAGCTGGGTTCTATCCGGGAACAAGCCGGCTCAGAGGCAGCACAAGCAGGGCTGGCCTCTGCAGCACACAGGTACATGACAGGGGCGCATGGGCAGGGGAGCGGAGCCAGCATTGGGTGGGGGTTAGGGGGTGGATTAAGCTGGGGTAGGGTTAGGCTGCTCCCTCCTTATTTTCCCAATTGAAGAGACCCCGTGGCCTAAGGTCTCAGGCAAAGGCTCACTACAGTTGTTTGCGCCCATGTTGGTGGGACGGTTCAGGCTACCCCGTACATGCCCACTGCCCGGCCCCGCCCCACAGCCATCCTCCCCGGGCGCCTGAGCGCACGGACGAGGCGCCGGAGAAACTCACCCCCCAGCTCACCCACAGCCACCGCCTCCCGCAGCTCACACGCCGGCGCCGGCTTCCTCCGCCCGGTCCCCACCCACAGAGAGGGGCGGGCCCCCTCCCCACCCCCAGCAATGGGCGGCCCCTCCCGCGGCCGCGGCCTCCCGGCGGCGGCGGCGGCGGCGGCGGCGGGAGCGCCGCGCACAGTGGCTGCTTGTTTGGGGTGCGGCTCTGTTCGCACTAAACACCCGCCTGGCGGCTGCCAGCTCCTGGGGACCCCCCACCATCGGGAGCCCTCGCCACGTCCCCTCCCGTGGCCCAACCCCAGGCTGCCCCGTCTCCGTTCCTGTCTCCCCGCCCCCCGTCCCCCCCCCCCAAAAAAAAAAAACCCAAAACAAACAAAAACCCCTCCGGAGTATGCCAGGCCAATGGGAATCTGGGCCTGGCACGGAGTGGGGCCAGGGGGCATTGTTGCCAGTCAGCGTGGATTGTTCCACCAGCCCTCGCTGGCTGTCTAGGTCTTCCACCTTCTTCATTAGTTCTTGAGTTTGGATGAACAAGCAGCTCATCTCCTGGGCTGCTTCCCTCCCCTCCGCACCCCCCCCCCCCCCCCAACCCCCGGCGCCCCATCCCTGAGGGCTCTCACACCTTGAGACTAACCGGGCCAGCGCTCTGCTACTTTTAATCAACGTGGCAAAGGCGGGGTGGGCGGGTGACTGCTCCTGCTCTTGCCACCCCTTCCCCCCCCCCCCCCCCCCCAGTCTCCTAGGGTCGGCCCAGGAGACTGGCTGCACCCTAAGCCCCCACTGGTGCTAGGTGTTCAAATGACACGCGGCACTCGCCACCCACACTTGCCCCCCGGGGAGAGGTGGCATTTAGGCTGAGCAGGCTCCACACGTCTGGGCCGCTCTTTTCCTTGCTGCTTTCTTCTGGTTTTGGCTCTTCTTTTGAGCCTTGTTTGGGGAGACAGATTCTTACCAAAATTTCCATACTCACTCCTGTGTTCTTCCCACCCTTTAAAAATGTTACAAGTGATGTATGATTGTACTAGAAAAACTAGAAAATGCAGAGAGGCAAAAAGAAAAAAAAAACCTGTAAGAAGTGAACTCAAATCTTATAACCTAGAGCAGTGACTTTTAACTCGTGGGCCTCAAGAATTTTTTTTTTTTCATATTTTATTGATTTTTTTTTACATATTTTATTGATTTTTTTTTACCCCCCTCCCTCCCACCCATCCCCTCCCTCCCCAGAGTTTTATGAACATTGGTTGTACTTATATGCATGTATACAAGTCCTTCGTTTGATCTATTATCTCCCCCAGATCTTCCTCCCCTCCCCACTGTAATTTGACAGTCTGCCTGTTGCTTTACTTTCTCTATCTCTGTCTCTTGGTTCATCAGTTCATAAAGAACTTTATTGTCCACCAATGAGTGAGGTCATGTGGTATTTCTCTTTCATTGATTGGCTTATTTCACTCAGCATGATGTTCTCCAATTCCATCCAGGTTGCTGCAAATGATGAGAATTCCTTCTTTTTTATGGCAGCATAGTATTCCATTGTGTAGATGTACCAAAGTTTTTGGATCCAATCATCTGCTGACGGACACCTAGGCTGTTTCCAAACTCTAGCTATTGTAGATTGTGCTGCTATGAACATAGGGGTGCAAATATCCTGACTATTTAGTTAGGGACAGTGACCTCTTTTCCCTTAGACTGCCAAGCTAAAAAAATGACAACAGCCAGCACAACAATAGCTGTAGGGTGTGAATGAATAAAATTATACCTGCTTTTTTTTTTTTTTGTCAGATTAGTAAAAAAATATGTTTTTTTAGTGTGCTGCAGAATTTTAGTCATTAGTTTATGTGCATCTTGAAAAGGAAAAGGTTGAAAAATCACTGACCTAGGGAACCACTTGTTAATTTTTGGAAACACATCCTTCCAGATTTTTTCTTATAAAAAGCAACATCCAATAGTCTAAATAATAAAAGGCTAAGATGAAAATTAACTAAATAGCAGAAGGACCAGTCGCTATGAAGTGCACTGACCATCAGGAGACAGATGTTCAGTGCAGGAGCTTGCCCCTGGTAGTCAGTGCGCTCTCACGTGGGGAGCCTGCTCACTGCAGCAGCGGTGGCAGGAGCCTCTCTGCCTCCTCAGCAGCACTGCTGACACCCCCAAGGGCTCCTGGACTGCAAGAGGGTGCAGGCCGGGCGGAGGGATCCCCCCCTTCCCAGTGCATGAATTTTGTGCACCAGGCCTCTAGTACAGTGGTCAGCAAACGCAGCTCTCGAGCCACATGTGGCTCTTCGGCCCCTTGAGTGTGGCTCTTCCACAAAATACCACGTACACTAATTAAGTTGATAATAATGTACCTACCGATATAGTTTAAGTTTAAAAAATTTGGCTCTCAAAAGAAATTTCAATTGTACTGTTGATTTTGGCTCTGTTGACTAATGAGTTTGCAGACCACTGCTCTAATATATCATAAGAATGGGAGGATGCTTAGGATAGTGTTCTGTAACCTGCTTTTCTGGCTCAGAAAAATAATCTGTAAATGGCTTCTCAGGCCAATAAATAAAACCTGGCTCTCTCTGTGTAGTATCCTAATCACAACGGGCAGTTTCTAGGTGACTTTTTGGGGCTGGCATTGATCTCATGGATTCTCTTATTGCTTCCCGCCCCTCCCCCACTCCGGAAGGCATTGGTTTGGCATCTGTGGTCATTGAGTCCTATTTGAATGTCTACTACATCATCATTCTCGCCTGGGCCCTCTTCTATCTGTTCAGCTCCTTCACCTCTGAGCTGCCCTGGACAACCTGTACCAATACCTGGAACACAGGTATCTATCGTTTCACCTCCTGGGATATGGTCTCTCCCTAGGGGCTGGGCTTGTGGTGGCTGGATTGTGTCAGAGGTTGGTGGGCTGGAACAAGAGCAGAATGAGGCGTATGGGGTGGGGAGACTGAGCCCATGAACCATCTGAGCAGCCAATTCCTGACACTCTGGAGATGGGGGCTTCCAAGGAAGCTCTTGGAATCTGGAATGTTGGCAACCACCAGGCCTCAAGACCAGAGGGACAGAGGTACTAGGGTGTGAGGGCATCTCTTCCTATCTCATCCCTGGCTAATGCACGCCTCACCTTTTCCCCAACAGAGCACTGCATGGACTTTCTGAACCACTCAGGAGCCAACACAGTGACAACCTCTGAGAACTTCACCTCACCTGTCATAGAATTTTGGGAGTAGGTGGTGCGCCTGGTTGCCATGGGCCAGAGGGTCTCAAGCAGAGGAAATTTGGATGTCTGAGGCGTGGGGCGCAAGTTTAAGGCTCTCTGTGCATGTTTTCCAGCACTTACCCCCACCCCACACATCACTGAGAGATGAGGGGAGGCTCATATCTAACCACAGTTGTCCACTTACATCTGTCAAATCTATCTATGTTCACCCAGACTCACCCAGACTACCCTATACCCTCACATTCCCTGTACAAGACTTACTTACACATCTACCCACCAAGACTTGCACATCTACCCACCAAGACTTGCATATTTACCCACACATGTCCACTAGTGTATTGGAAACAGTCTGGACCCACTTAGGAGAGCTAATACACATCCCATCCCAACTCTATGTTCAGTCACATTGGTCAAGGTGGGAGTATTTACACCACAGAAATTGGCAGACTATACACTCACACATTCACTTTCCCACATGATCACTTATCCCCACACCTACCTGTGCACATACTCACACATTTCCATCATTCCTGTACACAGCTTTAGGCACTATTATACACTCAACCCCTCCACTTGATACCCATATATTTGCTCATCAACCTGCACTTATAAATATTTACTCTCCATATACTCATTTATACATTCCTTACCTCACCTCTCCCCCTCTCTCTTTCTCTTTCTCTCCAACAGAGAGATATGAATGAGTTAGAAAGACAAAGATACCTATGGTATTACGTGATTTGGTCCTCTAACAGCCAGGGGCATACAGACAGCAGGTGGGAACATGACGGCCATGGGAAGATGGAGTGGGTGGGGGCAGGAAAAGCCTGGAAAATGACATCTATGGGGTCAGCTCTAAGAATCAGGAGACTTGATGACAGAGGCAAGTTGTCCTTTTTAGCCTTTCACCTGTTTATTTATTTTTCCACTCATTAGGAGACGTGTTCTGGGCATCTCTGCAGGCATCCATGACCTGGGAGCCCTGCGTTGGGAACTGGCCCTGTGCCTCCTGCTTGCCTGGATCATCTGCTACTTCTGCATCTGGAAGGGGGTCAAGACCACAGGCAAGGTGAGGTGCTGCGATTCCTGGTAAACTCTCTGTGTCCCTAGAGCATCCAGGGACACTCACAGCATCCCTCTGGAGAACGGAAAGCATAGTTTAAGGGAGAGGCCCGGTAAGAACATGGGAAATCATAGGAAGGCAGAGTTTAGTTCAATACAAGGAAAGCCTTCCTTTTTCTATATGATTTTAAAAGGCCTCTTTATGTAAGTAATATGCAGAGAAAAATCAGAAACATAAAAGGCCCACTGTCAGAGCTAAGCATTGTACAAGCCATCAGCACAATGGCAGGTTGGATATACAAATCCCTCTGTTAACCTTTTGCCATGTTGCCTTCTATTTTCCTTTATGTGTGTAGCTGTGCCTAATATGTGTGTATATCACACTGTTAGGATCAGACACTCTTTTTTTAATTTTTAATCCCCATCTGAGGATTATTGATTTTAGAGAGAGGAAAGAAGAGAGAGAAACATCAATTGGTTGCCTCTGTATACATGGAACTCACAACTGGGGTATGTGCCTGAGCAGGAATTGAACCACAACCTTTTGAGGCATGGGAAGATGTTCCAACCAACTGAGTCAGGATTGGATCAGACACTCTTATGACTTGCTTTCTGTATTTAACAGCAAATACATCAAGACAATGCTTAGCTTGAGCTAGCACACAGACCTGTCTTTGAGGTGGCTAGTTCCAATCACTGAAGGGGTTATGGCCAAGAATGGACCACAGTGCTTATTGCACTGAGACAGTTCAGCTTTGAGCTAATTTCCAACCAGAGGGGCTGAGACGGATTCATGCTCTTAAAGCCAGGAACAGACAGGCCCTGGCTTCTTTGACTAGCCTGCTCCTGCAGTACCCCCTCTCCCCCCGCCCCATTCCATGGATTGTTGGAATAATAAGGAAACAGCAACAGTAATGACAAAATAGCCACAGTAGTAATAATAACAAGGACTTTGCCACCACCTGGTAAGGGGCTGAGCTTGGCCAGGACCAGGGTGAATTCCTCTCTGAGTGTCTCCAGGATACCTGGAGCTCAGGCCACCCACAGCTGCTCCCCAGCCTTCAGCCTGGAAAATACAGTCTTTGTTCCTCACAGATCACTGTACAAACCTGCCCTCCACAGGGGACATCCAGAGGATGGCCAGAATAAGGGGTTAAGGGAGACCAGATTCTGGATTTAAAAATAGTCTTTGAAATGTTACGGCTGGAAACTCGTACCCCTCCCTCCCCTCCCTCCTCCCCTGGCCCTGTTGATGTGTGTCACACTCTGCTGGGGGCCCAACACCCACAGGAACATGGAATGAAAGGTGCAGAAAGTTTGAGTGTCCATCCCTTTCAGATGTCTCTTAGGTGTTGACACTGAGCTAGGTATGGCTCATGCCTCCCCGGGAGGGGTGACAGGAAGACCATGGCAGGTCCCTGTGAACTCCTGGCTGCTGTGACCACACTAGGAGTGACTTTGACCTGCTTTCCTCCAAGGTTGTTTATTTCACAGCCACGTTCCCCTACCTGATGCTGATCATCCTATTGATTCGAGGCGTCACGCTTCCCGGAGCCTACGAGGGCATCATCTACTACCTGAAGCCGGATTTGTCTCGCCTGAAGGACCCCCAGGTAGGAACTGTGCTGGGGATCATTTTCCCAAAAGTCTCTCATCCCAAACCAGATCTATGCTTTTGAAAGCCTTTGATTGCTTTCCTCCTGGTTTAAAGGCAATCAATGTCCACTGGAGAAAACTTAACATGAAAAGGAACTAAAAACCCACCACTCAGCTACATACAGTCTGTTAGCATTTTGATTTTTTTAAAAATCCTCACCTGAGGATATTTTTTCATTGCTTTTCAGAGAGAGTAGAAGGGAGTGAATGAGGGAGGGAAGGCAAGAGACAGAGAGGGAGGGAGAGAAAAACGCTGATGTGAGAGACATACATCGATTGGTTGCCTCCCATATGTGCTCTGACTGGAAAATCAAACCCACCTCTTTGGTGCTGAGCCAACACTCTAACCAATTAGGAACACTGGCCAGGGCTTCTGTTAGCATTTTAGTATATTTCCTTCCATCATTTTTTCCTAGCTGGATGGTGTGTGTGTGTGTGTGTGTGTGTGTGTGTGTGTGTGTATAAAAGAGAGGAGAGAAGGTGGTAACATACTTGAAATAATTATATACTGAGTAGCCAGATTATTATGATATCTGAATGCATAATAATCTGGCCACTCAGTATATATCCTATATAATAAAAGGCTAATATGCAAATTGTCCCCTTGACCAGGAGTTCAACCAGCAGGCAAGCCGGCCAACTGCCCATGTCTCCTCCCCCTGGCCAGGATGGCTTGACCCCACCTATGCAAGAATTCATGCACTGGGCCTCTAATAATCTGAGTGGCCAGGTTATTGTGTTCAGAGGTCATAATAATCTGGCCACTCAGTGTATATAGAGATATACCTTTTTTCACTTATATTTAAGCATTTTTCATGTTATTCAGTTCATTTGTAAATGCCATTTTTAACACTCACATACTATTTCCTCCATCCATCCATCCATCCATCCATCCATCCCACCCATTCATTCACCCATCCTGTCCTGAGCGTCACACCTGGGGCCAGTATCGTCATTTACTCCCACCTTCCCCTGTTCTGGATGTACAGGCCATGTGTTTTCTTACTATTGTATGTACGGCTGCAATGAGCACCTGTGTTTAAATCTTTGACCACATCCCTGGTCATTATTTCCCGACAGTAGTTAGACGTGAACATCCTGTCAAAGAGTGTGCACATTCCAGGTTCTTGACCTGTCTCACTGCAGAGATGCAGACTGCCACTGCCGGTGTCTCAGCAAGGACCACGAGAGATCGATTATGAGTTATTTTAATCATTGATAATTTGATAGCCAAAATAATATTATATTGTTTGTTTATTTAAAAAAAAATTTATGACTGCAAGGTTGGATATTTCCCCACATATTTATCAACCATTTGTATTTCCTGCTCTAGGACTTGTCTGAGCACATTCTTTTTCTCCACTCCCTCCACCCCCAGGATGCTTGGCGTTTCTTCTCTCTATTTCAATGCCGTGGCCCCTACACCCAGTGTGCCTGCCCAAGGCACACTCTGCTTGTTGAATTGGCAAATGCCTCTTGGCTCCCCGTGCAGAGGGCCTCACCTTGTCTGGGGCATGGCCGTGTGTGACAGACTCCACCTAAGAATTCCAAGTAACACACTCTTACTTGGTGTTTATCTAGTGGCCAGAGAACCAAGTTACAGATGGATCCTGTCTGTGGGAGGAGGGTGTGGTCACAAAGGGTTGGGATTAAGGGACTCTCTGGGAACACGGAGCAGGCCCTCCGGGCTTCCGCTCTCTCTCTCACCACTTCCTTGGGGTCCCTGTAGGTGTGGATGGACGCGGGCACCCAGATCTTCTTCTCCTTTGCCATCTGTCAGGGGTGCCTGACAGCCCTGGGCAGCTACAACAAGTACCACAACAACTGCTACAGGTAGGGACCTGGCGAGGGGCCCTGGGGGACCCTGCCTGCCCGAGTCTGAGGAGGGCAGGTCCTGCAGTGAGCCCAAGACTTCCTTCTTTATTATCAGGAGCAACAGGTTGTGTGAAATTACACATTTCTGGGTTCGTTTCCCGAACCGAATTTCTCTCTTCCTCCCTCTTCTGTCTCCCTTCCCTCGCTTTTTGAAACCCCTTGTTTGTCCTTTGCTTCCTGTTTTCCTTCCCATTCACTCTTCCTTTTCTTACACTCTTACTGTCTTCTGATCTCTCCTCAAATAATGAATTTCATTCTCCCCTGTTTTTCGTTTTATCTGCATTCGCCCGCCTGCAGGGACTGCATTGCCCTCTGCTTCCTGAACAGTGCCACCAGCTTTGTGGCTGGATTTGTGGTCTTCTCCATCCTGGGCTTCATGTCCCAAGAGCAGGCGGTGCCCATCTCTGAAGTGGCGGAGTCCGGTAGGTGTTACATTGCTGTCCAGGACCTGAGGGGAAGGAGGGTCAGAACACAGATCCTCCTACAGGAAAGCAGGGGTCCTCTGAGTCTTTTAGCATTAAGGGCACAGAGCAGGGCCTCCATAACCCTGGGAGGGAGGAAAGCAGGATAAGATGGGTGGATGGACCCACATTTGCATGCATGGATGGAGAAAGGTGGATTGATGAACAGCATGCTCCCCAGAACCTGGGAAGAGCAGAATAATGAATGGAATCACCCTGCCCTCTTGAACCACCCCTATTACACACACACACACACACACACACACACTCACATGTGCATACACAGTGCCTCTGGAGAGGGCATTTCCTGAGAGAGTGAGAGCCCTAGGCTCACCTGATTGTGTTGTGTCCTGGCAGGTCCTGGTCTGGCCTTCATTGCATTCCCTAAGGCTGTGACTATGATGCCCTTATCCCAGCTGTGGTCCTGCCTTTTCTTCATCATGCTCATCTTCCTAGGGCTGGACAGCCAGGTTCGTCACTCAGCCCAGCCCTGCCCTGCCCAGCCCTGCCCTGCCCAGCCCTGCCCTGCCCTGCCCAGACCTGCTCTGCCCATTCCTGCCCTACCCAGCCCCGCCCTGTCCTGCCCAGCCTTGCCCTGTCCAGCCCTGTCCAGCCCACCCCTGCCCAGCGCTGCCCTGGTGACTTTCTTTTCAGTTTCTGCATTTCCTTGCATTACCTTCCCTCTACCTCCCCTTCCCCTGACCATACATTTTAAGTCCCTTTCCACTGCCCGGAGCTTGTCCTTGGGGTTAGTGGGGTGACCCAGATCTCGAGACCCTCTTTCATAAGAGGACCCCTGCTTTGTTCCCCCTCACCTGACCCTTCCCCATGCTTGGATGAACCCTCCCAAATTTTCCTTCCAGATACTTGGCTCAAGCTGCCCATCCTGCCCCCCATAGCCTTGGGGACAGAACACATTTCTGCTCTCCAAGTCTCACTGCTGGGGCCCTCTGTTGTGGATATGTGGCCAAGGGCAGAGATGGCCTCACCCCTGGCCACCACCCATGTCTGCCCTTTGTATCCCCACACTCCTGTGCATCAACAGGGGTAGTAGGGTGAGAGGAGGCCTGGGCAAGGCTGTGCTGGGGAAGGCCCAAGGGCAGGGCCCCTCTCACTCAGCTTCCCTCCTGGCCTGCAGTTTGTCTGTGTGGAGTGCCTGGTGACAGCTTCCGTGGACATGTTCCCCAGGCAGCTCCGGAGGAGCGGGCGGCGAGAGCTCCTCATCCTTGGCATTTCCATCCTGTGCTACCTGATAGGGCTCCTCCTGGTCACCGAGGTGAGCAGGGGCGGCGCTGCGGCCGAGCTCCAGGGTGAGGGAGCCATGGGGACACCGCTGACTTTCTCAGAGCCACACCTTTCTCACCTGCTGGCCAGCGGTGTTGACACCTCACAGTGCGATTGTAGGGACCACACGGTAGAACCCATCTCTGTTTGTGAGCTCTGTTTTGGTTTTAGAAACCAAACACAAGCTGGCTTAAGCAGGAAGGGGAGTTTGGGGGTCGAGTAGAAATAGCCTGTTTTATCTGTGGTTGGACCCAGCTGCTCTAATGTCATGGTCAGAAGTGCCCCTCTCTATCTCCTGGTTCTCTTTCCTTTAGTGACTTCATTCTTAGCCAGATGGCCCTCCTGATAGTAAAGAAGGCAACTTCTGCCACCCAACCACCCCACAGGAGAGCATGGCCAGGGTCCAGCCAAGCCTCTCCCTCAGGCCTGGAGCAGGGAGAGGAATGCTGGGCAAACCAGCAATGTATGCCCATCACAGTCCCAGCATCCTTGCAGGTGTGAGAATTGTTGCCCTGATGTGAAGTGAGGGGCCAGGAAGCCGGGAGAGGTAGAGCAAACTCCTTCTGGAAGGAGAAACTTCCCACGAGCAGGGGAGGAAGCCACAGACAGAGGCTTGCCCTGATGCTGGGTGGTGGAATGTGGTCCCTGCCCCTATTGGCCAAGTTCTCACTCCCCACCCTCCTCCACAGGGTGGGATGTACGTCTTCCAGTTGTTTGATTATTATGCTTCCAGCGGCATATGCCTGCTTTTCCTCGCAATGTCGGAAGTAATCTGCATCAGCTGGGTGTATGGTAAGTGGGTTGGGGTGGGGGCCCCTCTGGAACCCAGCTCAGGATGGGACTTGCCCGGAGGAGGGACAGGGTGTGCGAGTCTCTGATTTCTGTGTTTTTGTGCTGTTGTCCTGGTTCTTTTCACGTGGTAAGAGCATCCATTGCTGGGAACCCAGGCATTTCGCATTGTGCAGGAAGAGCGGGGATAATGACAACACCGAGTTCCTTGAGGGGTGAGGGCCGTTATGAATATCAGTGGGCAGTTGGGTTTTTCTTTGGTACAGAGGCTGCCAGAGATCCTTCCCCGGCGGGAGTCGTAGTTAAAAGAGACCTTGGGGGCCATTTATTCGGATCCAGTCCCTTATGAAGTTATTCACCAGATTTTGCTTGAATTCTTCCATGAACAGGAAAGCCATTTCTTTTCCGTTTTGGCTGTTAAGTATTTCTTTCTCACATGAAGGTGAACTGTGCCTTCCGTTGACTTTTCCCACGGCCCTGACCGCTCGGCAGTGAGATAACTAACCCACAGTGCTGAGTGCTGTCATACCCACGCTGTTATTGTGGGGAGAGACCGTTAGCTACTGAGCCAGTGCACCGCTATGTGCAAGCACTTGCTACCTCCCGACCTTTAAGGGGGAAGGTGAGGCTCTGTCCTGAGCTCACACAGCTAGTAAGTGGAAGAGGTGTCTGGCTCCACTGCACCAGGTTGGGGGACACATTGCCAAAGTCACAAAGCTCAGGGCAGAGAGGGTAAGGGGTGCTATGTACTGGGGCCATGTAACAAGCTATGAGTAGGAAAGCTTTCATTTTGCCGCCCTCCGCCTTCCTGTTTGGTGTCCTTTCTGCTCCATGGAGATGTCCTCTCCCTTCTCATTCAAGCACCTGGTGTCTTCCCAATTGTCCCTCTTCCTTTTCAAAACTTGTTCTCAGAGAGGGTCTGATGAACCCAACCACAATGAGGTTGAGTTAAACCTACTCAAGAGTATTTGGTTTATAACTGGGGAGAAATTTACAAGCCAAAGGAATGACTCTTTAATGGTGGCATTTCCTGCTTAGTGACCAGAGGGAAAAATCTTTTTTTTTTTTTTTTTTTTTTTTTTTTTTTTTTTTTTTTTTTTTTGTGAGGAGTGGCTAGAGAGGTCTTCTAAGTGCCTTTACCAATCAGTGACTCTTCACTTAGAAGATAGAGCAAATGTGAAAACCTGAGGACATTAAACAAACCAAACATCGGTGTTTTCATGTGCACTAGCCAACCCTCTCCCCATGCATGACTGAGAATGCAGGGGATTCATCTGGAGTCCAGAATTAGGTTTCCCAGTAGTGATCTCCCCCTTCCCTCTCCTTCCCTCTTCTCTCCTATTTTCCCCTCCCCTCCCTTCCCATGGAGATCTGGCTCTATCAGAGCGGAAAGGATATGCTTGAGCAGTGCACACTTGCTGTTTTGTGTTTTGACTTGAAACCGAATTCATCTTTGCTATGCAGATAAACAAGCATCTGTATATATAGTACCGAGCCCCATTGTAGTCTCTCACCCACTTCTGTGCTTAGGACAGTGGAGTCTTCATCCAATGACAGGGGGACAGAGACTGTACCCAGAGTTTGGGTGACCCCAGGGCCCCTGGCTTGTTGGTGGCAGCTCCTTCTCCCTCTCTAACTGCCAGCACTGTGTCTTGGGTGCCAGGGACCCATCTCATTCACAGAGTGGGGGGAAGAGCTACCAATTGAGTCCTTCCCAAATACCCATGAGCTGTTCCCACCCTTCTGTTCTCATTCTTCCCCCACTGTGCCTGGGCAGGGGCAGACCGTTTCTATGACAACATTGAGGACATGATTGGCTACCGGCCATGGCCCCTGGTAAAGATCTCCTGGCTCATCCTGACCCCTGGACTTTGCCTGGTATGTGCCCACCCAACTACCCCTTTATTCCCTCCTGCCTGCAGCAGACTCAGCGGGGATAAGGAACAGGTTGCCTGAGTTCTGGGGCTCTGTCCCTGCCTGTCCAATGATCTTGGGAGGCTGGTCTATTCCCTCTGATGTATTGGTTCCCCTGACCCTTCTTTTCTGGGGCTATTTCTCCATATGTTTGCTTTACTGCCTTTATCATTTATTCCTATTCCTTCTCCATCCCTTTCTCACAGCATCTCCAGCCAGCTGCCCGATTTCCCAGGTATTGGTCTCTCTGTCTGCTTGGAGCTCCTCCGTCTCTCTTCCTTTCCTTTGTGTCTCCTCCTGTCTCAGTTTGATGCAAGTGATGCCTAGGCCCACAATTTGCAAATGGCTTTTACTTTTTTAAAGCAAAAGCCAAGTGCAATTGTACCACAGTGTACTTAAATTGTCTTCTGTCACTGTGTATTTAAGTAGAGAGGAGAGAATTTCATTGGCTCTGTCTCTTCTGTGTCTGACCTCCTGCCTTCTGCTCCACTCTTTCTAGGCCACGTTCTTCTTCTCCTTGAGCAAGTACACACCTCTCAAATACAACAACATCTATGTGTACCCTCCCTGGGGATACTCCATTGGCTGGTTCCTGGCTCTCTCCTCCATGGTCTGCGTCCCACTCTTCATCATCATTACCCTCCTGAAGACCCAGGGTACCTTCAAGAAGGTAGGCGCTGAGGGAAGTGATGCATTCAGGAGGGCACTGAGAGAGGTGGGTCTTGGGCAGCACTCTACAGCTGGGGGCCACCTATGAGTGTGGGGCAGCTTTTCAGCCAAATAGAACCTTAAAGAAAAAGGTCTTTGAAGATCAGTCTAATCGTTTCATGTTCAGAAACATTAGAAAGTCCCAGAGTCGTAGACCTTTAGAATCTGACCTCTAAAAGATCATGGAGGAAGGTTAACCAATGATCAACTATCAAAGGGTTAAGGGGAAACTAATTCACAAAGAAGAACATAAATAGCCCAGACACAGAGCTTACAGAGCACAGAACCCTTGCTCTCAGGAAACTGATAACTGGCTATCATGGCTCATTCCACACAGCCTCCCAGCATCTTTTCTTACTTTAACCTTGTGGGGATCCATGTGCACGAGTCCTCCTGTTTAGAGTTTGGGACATGTCTTCCTGGAAGAGTATATAGTCAGTGTCTCACAAAGACATTACAATATAGAAATCTATCAGGTCTACAAGTAGCAGAAAACTCAACCTGTAATAAGCAAATAGGTTTATTTTTCTCTTACATATCAAGAGGATCAGAGGCAGGGGTTGCTGACATTTTGTTCAGCAGCTTAAAGAGGGCATTAGGAACCAGACTCATCCTATATTCCCAAGTGAGCATGTTATGTCTTCATTGTATATGTATCACCTCATCGTCACGAGAAGGTTGTCATGACTCCAGCCCTCACATCAGCAATCAAGGCAAGAAGGACAAGGGGGATGATACCACAAACCCCAATAATGATAGCAATGCAGTATTACTACTAGTGAAAATAATAATAGATATGTATTGAGCATATAGTGGTAAAAATTAGTAATAATAAGAAGAACAAATATAGATACTTATTGATACCCTACCCTGTGTCAGATACTGTTCTATGAGGTACTCTTATAATCCTCATTTTACAGATGAGGCAGAAGGGGTTTAAATGGGTTACCTAAGATTGCACAAGTAACAGAGTCAGAAGTGGAACCTAGTTCACATTCCTAATCACCATATTATTGCCTCTTCTCTCTTCTCAAAATATTTATTTATTCACTCATATGGTACTGAGCTGCTCCCACGTTCCTGGCTCTGTGCTGGGCTTTGAAGATACAGATACGAGAAAGCATCTTTGCCTCTCTCACTAACAATACCCACTCATTCCCTCTTCTCTCCACAGCGCTTGCGACAGCTCATCACCCCTGACCCCAGCCTGCCACAGCCCAAGCAACACCTGTATCTGGATGGTGGCACCAGCCAGGACTGTGGACCCTCCCCAGTGAAGAAGGGACTGATAGTCGGGGAGAAAGAGACCTACTTATAGGATGTGGCTGAAGGCCAGGGGGCTCCTGAGCCAGAAACCTTGGTCAGGGCCACCCTCTCCCCACAGTGGACAGCCTTTGCCTCTGTCCCTACCATAGCCCTATTGAGAATGCTTGCGATGTCTGGGGCACCCCCAGCCTGCAATGTCTGGGGCACCCCCAGCGAAGGCAAGATTCCCTCCTCTCTCCTCCCAGCGGAAGCAGCTCCTCCTGGTGGGCTAAAAAGACGGTCCTGCTGGAACACACCACGCTGTGAAGCGACTCCCTGCTGGAACCCACTGTCTTATTTATAAAGGAGGGTGGTCTTTTTGGCGTTCACTATCTGATTACAGCACATTACACTGTGAGGATCTCCCACTGCAGGGATGCTTCCTGTTAGAGTTTACCATATTTGTGCACTGGAAGATAGTACCAATTGGAATACACATCATGATCTGATTCAGAGAGCGCAACGGAACACTGTGCTGGAAGTGGCACTGAACACACCATGTTGGATTCTGATCTCCCATTAGAGGGGGTCCCTCACTGGGTGTAGCATTCTGGAGTCCGGGGGAGGGGACTGAGAATCAGCCAGGAGGCAGATCTTCACAGGCCATCATTGCATCGACTTTTCCAGGAGGCAGTCTCTGCCAGTGTTCCTAATGCCAGTGCTAGTTCTACACTCTTCTTCAAATGTTATCATCAACTCATGGAGCATTCGAATGGAAGGGACTTACAGATGATGCCTGGACTGTGTCCTATGTCCAAGACAGACATTGCTAGTGGATCACCAATTCTTTCCCACCTCATAGTCCTCCCATATAGGTATAGTGCTCCAGGCAGCTTCACTTGCCATCCTGCTTTTGTCCACATCCCTGACTTCATGAATGAGGACCAATGAGACAAAGTGGCTTTTTCAAATTCACACAGTTTCTCAGCACCAGAGATACGACAAGAATCTGGTCCTCTGGTTCTTGGCCAGTGTGCCCTTCATTACTCCCTCCTGCCTTAATAACCAAGCATGTGTGGATCATCTGCCCTGTGTGCTGCCTTCTTTACTTCACCCCATACCTGTTCAGTTATTCTGTCTTGGGGTAGGAGGGAGAGAGGTCACTTCTGTGAAGGGGTGAGCAGCTCTCCCTGGAGTGGTGCCCTCACCATCATATTTTCTCTGCCAACCCCTACTCATCTGACCAGATTTCCTCGCTAGACCCTTCATTCTTGGCACTTTCTATCTCTCCTCTTACAGGGGCAGGCTTGGGGCCTGCAAGAGCCCTCAGGTCTCAAACAGAGAGGGAGGTGTGTGTATGTGGGGTGCTCCTTTCTCCATCCCAACCAAATCACTCAGGTTCTTCTCTGGCCGGATAAGGCTTTGTGGAGGTGGAAGGCAGGACTTGTGTACAGAAGAAAGTGAAGAGAGAGAGTGGAGATGGGATATGCCACTCAGGATAGTTTCCTGGGGCAGGACCTGAGAGTTGGAAGAAAGGAAGTCACCTGGGGAGAATTATGTGTAGGTGGATGTCACCCAGAGCCAATGCCTAGTGGCTGGAGTAAAAATATGGTCTGGCCATGATGAATTCCATCTCCAACAGTCCCAGCCATCCTCAGATCACTCACCACCTTTTGCCCAGATATGTAGGTGCTTCTCACTTGTAAGAATAAGTGTGCTGTCACACTGGACATGAGCAGATGTCCAGCTTCCTGGGTTCTGGCAGTCTGCTTCTGCATTCCTCTGGACTGTTCCATGCACCTGTGTTCACCTTTCTTGGACAATCAGTGGGTCAGGAAGTGGGTACAGGAGGAAGGGACGGAGAGAAAAGGCTTCAGTCAGATCACACTCACTGATGAGACTGGGGAGCCTTAGATGAGGCTGGCACAGTGCTCTTTGCTGCCTCTTGGTGGCCAACAGGAGCAGTGCCGCTTCCCCAGGTTCCTGTCAGGACCTCATCAGTGCCCTTCACAGACAGGAGGAAAGTGCCCTCACCCCTGTCCTCAGGATGGATGAACAAGGTGAGCAGCTCTCCTTCCCTGTCAGCTTTCATCATCTGGAACCCAAATACTTCCCTCACCCTTCTCTCCAAGACCCTGGTGGGGCTCTCCTAGAGAGACAGCTTGCTTTGGGGAAGCCAGCTCAGTGAGCGACACCAGCCAGGCTTCTCAGATACCTGCTGCCACCCACACTTCAGCTCTGTCAGCCTGGGGGACAGCATTTTCTGTTGTGGGCAGATCTGCACAGTGGTGGGGCACAAGCTCTTCCCAGCTCATGGAGCCATGAATTTGTCTCTCTGTCTCTGCAGACTGTTCACCATCATCCTCTCCCACCTTCCTCACCTCACATAAATCCGCCAGACCTCCTGGCTCTAAACTCACAGGCTGTCATAGGACGTCTCTGCTCTGGCTCTGGGACTGCTGGGAGCACTCAGTATAGAGCCCCCGTGGCCTGTGAGTCCAAAGGATGTGGAGGAGTGGCTTAGGGCTGGAGGAAACAGGGTGTGGGGAAAGGGACTTCCCACCAGCTTCATAGCTCATAGGAGCCCACTTACAACATGGGCAAGGAGAGCAATGGGGCCTTTAACGTACCCAGAGCGCTGATACAGGTTGATGTGTGTGTGAGTGTGTGTTTTTTTTGTGTGTGTGTGTTTGTGTGCATGCACATATGTGCACGCAGAACAGATATGGGGTTAGCTGGGCTTGTTTCCATCTCATCTAGCCTGGGTTTCATACTGGTGGCCAGAGGCCTAGTCTGGCAGCTATGATTTGTTTGGCCAGTATGATATTAAAACATTTTTAAGTGTATGCTTGTAGGTACTCTCTAATTTGCTGCAGGCTCCACCCCTCTAAATTAGCCAAACCTGAGTCTAGAGGCATTTGACTTCCTAACCCGTCCCAGAGGAAGGACTGAGACCTGTGGGCCAGGCAGGGAACCAGAACCTTTGCTTGAGCAGAGAGGAACCAAGGCCAGCACTCTCAGGGTCCCAGCACCTCAGAAGGGCTAAGTCCTGGCTTGTTCATCTGTGGGTCTCCCACTCGGTAACCCATGAATCCTGCCTGACCAGTTCTCCCTCACCCACCAGGCTCTTCCCTTTCCCAAAGAAGGGTGGTGGCCAAGTTTACTTTCAAAGCTAGACCTGAAGTCTAGACCAGCGGCCCAGCCACAAAGACCTCTGTTGGGTTTTCTGATGTTTGGGATCACTTCTGCCTTCCAACCCCACCAGTTCATCCAGATGTGCTTAGGACCCACACCCAGCTCCTTCCCTTTATTTTAGGCAAAAACATCTAACCTGACTGTGGCAGTCCTCCACCTGGAAGCTGAGACTGGCTTTTCTCCGTAACTGAGCTCCTCCTGGGAACCACTGCCTACCCGCACCTCATGCCACTCCCAGGCTGTGCTCCCTGTGGAGCTGACTCACCAAGGCTGCTGGTCTTGGGGTTTGCAGCTCCCAACCACTCACCTTGGCTCTTCCCTATGTTCCCCTCAGTAAGGCTGAACCTGGGTTTGGAGTCTCCTTCTGTTGTCTCAACTGGGAGCCCCTTCTCCATCCAGCATGTGGGTTGCCTGTGTGGGAGCTGAGGAGTAAGTGAAAGAATGCTCTGTGCTCTCTCTACTCCCTACCCCCAAGCTAGGAGAGCTCAGGGAGCTGAAGAGAGCCTTGAACTCCTCTGAGATTGGAGCCCCAACCCCATGTGTGAGACCGTGGTCTGTGTGGATTAGGTGGGAAGGGCACCTGACCAGGGAGATTGTTCCCTGTCTGGCCTGGCATCCCCCTCTTACAGCTTCTCTCACCTGGTTCCATGCAGGGCCCCCACAAAAGAGGGCCTGGCTCTGGTTTGGGGTCTCCAGGTATTGCCGGGCTCCATCTCCCACTGACCTCCCAAACCATCCTCCAGGTCCAGACCACCTTGTGGGTCTCCTTGTCTGCTGCTTCCATGAAAAGGAAGCATCCACTATTTCATCCTAGTGCTGTCCGGGGGTGCCAGCCTTGGTCCTCAAGTCAGAACTCCTCCCACCCCCATCAGAGAGAAAGAATGTAAGCCAGCTGGCCTGTCAGCCCTGTGAGCCCCTTAGCCTTTGCGGTGAGTGGAAAGGTCACGGGAATAAGATTTGGGGCAGGAGAAAGGAACAGAATCATCTGGGAATCAGTCACAGGGACATAGATTAGGAGGCCAGGAGGAGAGAGGTGTGCATTTGGGAGAAAGGAGCCAGGCTGCTGTTTGTGGGGAAACATTATAATCAGAGGACTACACCCAGCTCCCTGGAGAGGCTGGCACCTCGCTCTGAAAGGAAGCTCCTGGATGAACCCTTCAGCCCACCCTTCCTCCTTCTCTCCTGGAACCCCAGATCTTCCCCTCCTGCTACTCATGCCCTGACCCACAGCACAGATGGAGGGCGAGTGAGGGACGTTTGCAGCTAGGTCATAGAAGGCACTAAGGCTTCCATGATCTTTTGGTCACTCCCTCTTGGGGAAGCTGATCGCCACTCAGGCAGCGCCACAGACAGGCCCATGTGGAAGGAGCTGAGGCTTCCAGCCAAGAGCCATCACCAACTGGTCAGCCAGGAGAATGACCACTGTGGATGTGGATCCCCCAGCCCCCGCCAAGCCTTTAGTAGCCTGGAAGCCTGGCTGACTGCAACCTTGTGAAGGGCCCTGAGCCAGAAAGCACCCTCCAGGTGGGCCCTGAATTCCTGACCCACATGAAAGATAATCAATGTATATTGTGTAAGCCACGGAGTTCTGGGGTCATTTATTCAGCCGTAGTGGATACCTAATATGGGTCCTTGGCTTCCCTAAGTACAAGAATCGCCCTTTTTGAGGGCGGGGTATGCCCCTCATCAGAGCACTGACCCTCAGCTCTGTAGGAAGGGAGACCTTGCTGGTGTTTATCCTGTCTGAGCCCTTTGCCTTTCTCCCACGTTTTAAAATATACATTTTATTTATTTTTTTACAGAGAGGAAGGGAGAGAGATAGAGAGCCAGAAACATCGATCAGTCACCTCCTGCACACCCCCTACTGGGGATGTGCCC